GACATCACTCGTCCAGGAGGCGTCTCCTATTAACCAGGCAGGGGGTTATCCATAAATGACGTCACGTTTTTTGGAAAAAAATTACCTCCCCCTCCACTCAGTCACACATCGTCACAAAAAGCTAGAAGCACCCCCCCCCCCCCTTTAAAATGACGTCACATCTAGGCCTGCAAACCCCCCCCCCCCCCCCTCAGAAGTGCAGTTGAATTTTTCTTAATATACGATTTTTTTTCCTTTTTAAAATCTTGTCTGAACTCTGTCAACATAGAGTATTTTAATCAATTCCTATTACAATCTATTAAAACAGTGTTCTAAAATGCGAAATAATGGTTAAAATTAGTTTTCTAACATTGGCTTTTTTTATAATGCAAAAGTGTGACGTCACACCATATGAACCCCCCCCCTCCCTCCCCTCATCACCCAACATCACAAAATTACGGACCCCCCTCCCCCTACGAGTGTGACGTCATTTATGGACGACCCATAGGCCTCAACAGGAAACTATGACTAAATGGTTTATGAAGGTGGAGTGACGTGTATCGGCCTATAAATTAATATGCTAATATATACTTTACTTAACAATATGTTATATGGCTGGGAAATAATGTATTACCCCTCATAAGCTGTAGAGACACGGAGTAGGATGGATGGATGATGTAGACAGCAGATGTAGAGATGCTAAACAGGATTGGCAGTCTTTTGTGAAGAAAATACGGCTCAATCTAGCCAGCTGACTATAGCAGAAGAAGTAAAAGAAGAGTAAATGATTAAATTAAACGAGCCGACCCGCGGAGTCAGAGTTTCTTCCAGGCATCTTTTCGGGGGGGGGGGGGGGGGCAAGCCCCCCGAAATTTTTTTACCGCCCCCCCCCCCCCGAACGAAATGAAATTTATATAGAAAATATATACTTTTAACAGTGTCCGCCCCCCCCCCCCCGAAGAAAGTTTACGGGCCCCCCCCCCCCCCCCGAAAATTTCAAGTGCCCCCCCGGAGAAAAAAGTCTGGAAGAAACACTGAGCGGAGTATCATACGCCGCTATTTAGTTGTTTTATCTTCTACTTTTCAGTAATTCATAATTTGTGAATTCGACAGTACCACTGCTGTCACTGAAAATATTTGCTTTAAAACAAAATCAGTGAGTCATTAAGGACGATAACCCCCCCCCCCCCTCCTTTACCCCCAACCCCTCCCCCCCCCGTGAAAGCAGCCTCCTCTTAGCTACCTCCCCTAAGTTTAAAATCGTTTCAAACTAAATTATCTGCCCCTAATAGCCGTCACTAAACCCGACTCTACGATTGTAAACATTTAGCGTGAGCCACAGCTCACCAGAATTCCTAGAGAGGAAGAAAGGGGACTGCAAGGTGCGCTTTCAGCTTGTTTTCTAAGGTCTCCAAGAAGAGAATTATATATATAGATAGATACTAGAACTCCATAAGGGGGCGTCAATAAATGACGTCACACTCATAGGGGGGAGGGGGGTCCGTAATTTTGTGACGGTGTGTGATGAGAGGGAGGGAGGGGGGGGGGTTCAGATGGTGCGACGTCACACTTTTGCATTATAAAAAAGCAATGTTAGAAAACGAATTGTAGACGTTATTTCACGGTTTAGAAAACTGTTTTGATGAATTGCAATAGGAATTGATTAAAATACTCTATTTTGACCGAGTTCTGACAAGATTTTGGAAATAATAATCATTAAAAAAGTTTTAAAAAACCCACGTTTTCTGATTGAACTAAAAAGTAGAAAATAAATGCTATACATCACAATAATGCAAGCGATCACTCTACTATAAGCGATCAAAAACGTGGGGCGCCGAAGTAAAAGTTATATTACTATTGATTAGATAATACTATTGACTTTTATTAGGGAGCTTGTAGAGAGTCAACAGTATTAGAAACTGTAAGAAAATCACGGCGCCCCACGTTTTTGATCGCTTATAGTAGAGTGATCGCTTGCATTATTGTGATGTATAGCATTTATTTTCTACTTTTTAGTTCAATCAGAAAACGTGGGTTTTTTAAAACTTTTTTAATGATTATTATTTTCTACTTTTTAGTCTTTGTCTGTTTGTTTGCATTAAAATCTTGCTATCGATTTTATCTTTTCACTTTTTTGTTGGGTAAACGAAGACAACTCGTAAAAAGACAACTCGTAAAAAGACAACTCGTAAAAAACACGTTGTGTGAATACGTTACTGACTAGAACACATAGATTTGAACCCGTGTCGAGTGGGATAGCAATCGTGTGCCCAACCACTCGACCATATCGTCTCCCCCAAACTGGCCTACCTCCTGTAAGTTTATAGTCGGTTAAAACGAAATTATCTGCCCCTAAGCAGACGTGGGATCGTTCGCTTCACTGCGCGCGGCAAGAGAGAGGCTAGCTACGCGTCGCTGGTTTTTTTTTCTAATGGCTCGCAGAGGAGAATTATATATATAGATTATATAGCGGTCTAAAATGCTCAATAAAATGTTTCCATTGATCAATTTAGTAATAATAACAAGTGATTATTCTATGGTCATCCAAAAGAAAGCTTCCCTGAAAATTTCAGCGCGCTAGCTAATTGGGAAGTGCCAGAAATTTCGATCGCAAGATTTGATTGGAAAGACAAACACACAGAGAAAGCAAGTTAAAGAAAACGTGGGAAAAATATCGATGTTTAAAGAAAAATTCAACTGCAATTTTGAGGGGGGGGGGGGTTGTAGGCTGAGGTGTGACATCATTTTAGGGGTGGGGACTGGCTTTTTGTAACGATGTGTTACGGAGGGGAGGGAAGGGGGAGAGAGGTAAAAATCGTCAAAAATAAGCGTGATGTCATTTATGGATGACCCCTAAAAGTTTTTTTCAAGATGGTCGCCGTTGCTATGGCAACCATATTTTCGGAATAGTCCCTGGTGCATGTTCATGAGATCTCTTACATAATCTTTAGAGTCTAAAGCTTTTGTTGAAGAGAGCCTGCTTTTTTTCCCCACTTTTTAGTCAATCGTTCGAAATAAATTTGTCACTACATAGACTAAACATATTTGCGTTAAAACCCTAAAAGACATTTATCTGCCCCAGGTACCAGGTAAGAAATCAGTCAACCGTGACAAATAGTTCACCTTCGACGGGGGTCGGCGTGGTCGAGTCGGTAAAGCTCATGGTTGCTAAACCGAAAAGTCTCAAGTTCGAACATTCGGGCAGATGAGGCTCGTTAGCTGGGACAGCCACTCCTCTAGGAGAGACAACTCCTTGTAGTTTGTTCTTGGTTGGACAAAGGCTATGGAAGCAAATCCAAAAAGAAAAGCGGGCAGAAATCTAAAATGGCGCATACGTATCGTTAATCATGGTTGATAAATTCGAAAAAAGTATCGAGTTTAAACCCTCTGGCAGATAAAGGCTCGATCCCTTCCAACACTAAAAATTAAGAACGAAGAAGAAAAAGAAGACGGTTAGCAGAGCGAGTGATCACTAGGAACTAGTATTTTATCGTGTTATCTACCCTTAGTTTCGAAACCGTTTAATTTATTTCTAACGACTAATTTAAAATCTTCTATCTTCTATATATAATTCTCTTCTACATGGTCTGGTGAGCTGTGGTTCACGCTAAATGTTTACATTCGTAGAGCCGGGTTTAGTGACGGCTATTCGGGGCAGATAATTTAGTTTGAAACGATTTTAAACTTAGGGGAGGTAGCTAAGACCAGGCTGCTTTCACGGGGGGGGGGGGGGAATTATCGTCCTTAACGAGCTACTGATAGTGTTTTAAAGCAAATATTTTTAGTGGCAGCATTGGTACTGTCGAATTCACAAATTATGAATTACTGAAAAGTAAAAAATAAAACAACTAAATAGCAAGATTACAAGATTTGTCACAAACCCAAAAACGGACGTTCTGAACGAAGTAAAAGCTTGTAAAAAGAATTTATTTTGCATTTTAGATACTACTCAACATCCCCCCCCCCCTTAACCTCAAATGGCTTTCGATTCTTAGTAGTACCACTACTAGCGTACATACTTAGAGGAAAGGTCATGTAGATTTCTAATGTTCTAAACTGCTAGATATATTAATATTAAAAGGCTGTTCTCTTGAAAGCATTTTTGTTGTTTCATAATTTCAAAAAAAAAAAAAAAAAAAAAAAAAAAAAAAAAAATTGGCTTTTCCTTTAAAACATTGATCTGGAAAAAACAAGGGGCATATTTTTTTTTCTGTTTGCGGGAAATTAGAATGATCGATAAGCCAACACAAAATCCCTTCATTAAATTACACCAGTGTCATTTATTTAGAGTTATTTAGTTATGACATTACAAATAGAATTAAATGACAGTATCGCTTATGATGGGTGGAGTGACGCAGACGAAGAAGAACTGGCTAAATTAGGTAGATCTAGAAAGAAGAATTTATTTTTTATTAGATTCAAAAGAAAAACCAAGGGGCATATTTTAATATTTTTTCCTGTTTGCGGGAAATTAGATTTTAGATCTAGATCTAGTCTAGGTAGGATCTAGATCTAGAATGAAATGAATCGGTAGCAAACACATTTTCCTGGAAAATTCTGTAGCTACTAGATCTAGATCTCTACTTTGTTAGGCTCTACAATAGAAATCTACTAGATCTAGAATCTAGCTAGATTATTATTTAGATCTAGATCTAGATTCTAGATCTAGATCTAATATTTATTTAGTAGGCTATTTAGATCTATTTAGTAGTATTTAGAGATCTAGATCTATAATAAGTCGGATCCAAGATCAAGAACTATTTAATAGGAATTTGCTTTTTTTTTCTTTGGCCTATTTTAAAATTTATTTTTAGCAACTGACACTGCAGTAGGCCTAAACAATTAATTATTAAGTAAGCTTTATTTTTGTGTAACCATACTCTCTTTCAAGCACTAAGATCTAGAATTCCCCATAGTGAAATGTTACAGGCCCATTGGTTAAATAACTAAATAGGCCTTTTAAAATTATATTTAGTGCCATGTCACTAGGCCTATTACTTATTAATTACTAATTAGTATTACTAGATCTATCACCAAAGCTGATCTTTGAAAATACATTTTAGCAGACAAAATTGGAAATAGAAATTATTAGGGAATTATTTTTTGTTATTATTGGTGGCTTTCATAACAGATCTAAACAGATTTTACTTTCATTCATGGATGTCGGTTGCAGTAATTGTTGCAGGCATTTTGCTTTATTTCATGATTATGTTAAATTGAATAGGATATTTGAAATAGTTCATTTTTAAAGTAGGGTCATATTTAATCATTAATGATAACAAAGTCTATTTTTAAGTCTATAGTTTTATGATTCTAAAATTTTATTAAAAAGTATACTGCAAGTGGCATGTAGACTTGCAAAGCTTTCAAGTTTTTAAAAAGTTCAAATTAGAATTAGCAGAATATAAATTAGGTACTTCTGTTTGTATACTTGGTGGGCAGTATCAATCTAATGTACTTTTGCTTGTATCTGTACCCAAATTCCAAACTGTAGCAGAATAGCAACATCAGCAGTAGTCTATTATTATCATGTCAGCAGACATGTAAAATAAGTACAAAAAAAGGTAGAATTCATAGCACCTCTAGTCAAAGAATAAATGTTTTATTGTCAGAGAGTTAAAATGACAGAAACATAGCCAGCACAGTTTTTTTTTCAATCAATACAAGTTTTAGTACAGATCTTTATTTTTTTGTAATGCATCGTTCTGGTTTTGACCATTTATTTCTTGCTGGTTTGTCCAGATGACACTTCAAACACAGACAGACCAAACAGTTTTCTAGAATGTGACAGACTACTAGCCACAAACGGGCCACCTAAACAAAGATACAGGCCTAAACGGTACCTTATTGTCTCTGATCTGGCCAAGCAGTTATGGTAAAAAAAAAAAATTTGTTTTGTTTCCTTTAAACTTGAATTTTGTAAAAGTCATACATTTTAAATTTTTGTTTTTAAAAAAAAATAATTTATTAATCATTCTTCAGTTATTAATTAATCACCTAGTTATCAATCCATATTGACTTTAAAAAAAATGTAAGGATCACTGATATGAAAGTAGGTCAGCTTTATTCTGTTTTTTTTAGGTGTGAGCAACAGCTTCTTTATGGTTTTTCACCTGAAATTTACCTGTCTAGAGCTTTACCTGATAGTAAAGTCGATATTGACGAGACTGATGAACAGAAAGCAACTCGGAGAAAAGGGGCTGATATCCATCTGGCAAGAGGTGCATATTTTGTATGATATTGTTAGACTTCTTGTTTATATTATTTATAAACATACTGGAAAATCTTGTTAAATTCAAGTAGTTTTGTTATTGTTAATATTAATTTCAAATTTCATTGAAAATTTTCAAACACTAGCTTACATGTTTAAAATTAAAAATGGTATATATTTAGCCATGATGGTAAACGTCTATAATATGTTGGAAAAAATCAATGGGAGAGCTGAAATGTGTTCTTCGATTTGGGAATTCCCAAAAAATTGTGTTGTTGGGGGGTTTCCCCATAGTAGTAAAATCTCAATATTTTTTTTTTCTGTATGTATTTTATCAAACAGAAAGCACCAATACCTGCTATTATTTCATATTTTCAGAACAAGATATTAATAAACCTGTCCCAGTGGAGATCATAACAAGGGAGGATGACTGGGCGGTTAGGCTTCTAAACTTGCAGTTTGCAGTGCTATCCTTTCACAATGGAAGTAAGGTGGCCAGAGAAGTGCCGATATTTGGCATGCCTTTTGGCATTGATGATGTGATCTATGGAATTGTTGATGAGCTCCAGTATGACCCAGATACACATGCCATTGTTATTTCTGAACTCAAGACAAGGAGGTCAAATTTTCCTCCTAAAAAAAGTCAGCAGGATAAAGACTTATATCAGGTGAATTGGTATTAGATTTTTTTAAATCAGGTATTTTGTTTTGACTCAGTATCTTCCTATAGATTATCTCATTTATTTTACTTTTTATTTGGAGTAGTGTTACATTATTGTTGTATTTGCATTTGTTCTAAATTCCTTTATTCTAACTTTTAAAAAAATTGTACAGGTCAGTCTGTATGCTCAGTTGTTCAATGAACTTGTGCAAGGAAAAGTCAACAAGCATCTGCTGAACACACATCTACAGCTGGATCTGGATGCAGAGTTTAGTGATGGTGTCAGAGAACGTTTGAAGGAATCTGGAAGTGATGCTTTAACATTAAGTCAATTGTTTGACATTGTTTTGAGCCAAGTATGTTGGTTTTTTAATTTCCCTATATGGTTAACAAATAATCAATTATAATCTTAAGGCAATATAACTAATTTTATTCTTCAAAAGCCTTGTGTGAGCTTCAATTTCAATCATAGCGTAAAGAAAAATTATATTATTATTTTGAAGTAACGTAAACAGTTGGCAAACAATCTAAATTATTAATTATAGACCTAGTTGTAGTGTATTTTGTTTTGTTGTTTAAGTTTTGATTGCTTTCCCCACTTTTCAACAGCAATTCGATTACAATTATTTATTTGTTTTAATAACGGAGATGTACAGGAACTATTTATAGAATTAGGTATTCATTTTATCAGAACCATATTTCATGCATAATTACTTAATTTGAGGCATAACAATTTTTCTTTTACATTTAACACTCTATATTTGTTCATATTATTAGGATTGTAACATAATAAAATTAGTTATCATTTTATTAATTCAAATGCATTAAGTCTTAATCTACATTTACAGGTGTATTAATTATAAAATGAGTAGTGCTTTACATTAATAAAGATTTTTTTTTTCAAACAGGTACAAAGTCTAACTTGTATAGAATTTACAAATCTAGAGTATATTCTTCAAGAAGACAACAGCACAATTCTTGAGGTGAAGCTGAATTACGATCCTGAAAACATTAAGGCGAAGGTGCTGAACCAAGTGCGATGGTGGAAAGGAGAGAGGGGGACAGTTGGAGTGGATGTTGAGGACTGTTGGAAATGCAGCTTCTGTCGCTTTTCAGAGCTGTGTGAGTGGAGGCAGAAAATAAACCCAAAGGTTTCAGAGTCAAACTTAGAGGGTGGATCTAATGGTGTATCTCAAAACTGTGAAAGCAGTAAAGTCATGTCAGAACAAGTAAAATTAGAGGGAGGATCTAATGGTGAGCCTCAAAACTGTGAAAGCAGTAAAGTCACGTCAGAACAAGTAAAATTAGAGGGAGGATCTAATGGTGAGCCTTAAAACTATGAAAGCAGTCATGTCAGAACAAGTAAAATTAGAGGGAAGATCTAATGGTGAGCCTCAAAACTGTGAAAGCAGTAAAGTCACGTCAGAACAAGTAAAATTAGAGGGAAGATCTAATGGCGAGCCTCAAAACTGTGAAAATGGTAAAGTAAAAGAATAAATATAAGCCAAGATGAAACGAACTTACCAAGCCATTAAACAGATTTTCAGGCATATGATCTATTGTATTATTTAGTGTATATTATCTATATTTGATCAGTCTAATTTTTAAAACTAGCTTTGCTTATTAGATTTTTTAAGGTTCATTATATTTGCATTCAAATATTATTATAAAATCACATTTTAAACAGGCGTACAAAGATTTTCTTATATTTTAAAACTAGTTTTGATCAAAACAAAGCTCATTTTACCTATATTTATATACATATTTAATTCTTATGTAATTTATCTATATAATGCCTAAGTTATTTTGAATTTTACAAAACTTTAATAACGTAGTACAGTTTTATAAAAGATGTGATGTCATGTTTGATCTGAAAATATAATTTTTGATTGGCAGCTATATTGTAAATTTAAGTTGAGTGAATGATAGCAGTTTTCTTTTGTTATTAAAAGTATTAATAAGCAGCACTTGCTTTCAATGTTTTACATTTTTGTATTGTATTTAAAGAATGTTAATCACTATAGAATACACAGTATCTTTGATAACATGAATTAACAATATAACATTTAAAGAGTACTTGAAATTGCTTTTATGTGAAATAAAAATTATTTATTTCAAGCAAACAGATGTAGTATTTATTTCTTTTAGCTCATGGCCGTCTTAAATATATTGGCATTCAAACTTGCACAAGTTTTAATCACAATGTCTGTTCTGATCTAGTATAATGTGTAAAATTTAAGAATAACTAGCAATGTTATTTTTGACTTGACTTCCCAAAACTCTAATGAAAGAAATAGCTAGGTGGCATGAAGAAGGTATAGTCATGATTATTGGTCAAGTGGGCATCCAAAAGCTAACAGCAAAAAATTCTTTTTATCAAGAAATAGCGGAACGAAGGTCTTGTCATGGCTATTGGTCAAGTGAACAATCAAATGCTAACATTTGAAAATATGGGTCACCTCCAGGCTATCTACATTTCATTACCATTACTACCAATCAGTATTAAAGAAAATTATAGATGTTCTGATAAAAATTCTGTTTAAATAATGCAAAGAAGAAACCTTTTTTTGAAATATTAGTTTGTAAAAGTGCACACAAATAATGTTGCATTTATCTAAGCCCTTTATTTTTTTTGTTGGGTTCTTATTTATTGTTTTTACAAAAGCAAGTCTGATTTGATAGCAGTTTATTAAAGAAGTGTAGTATGATTGAACCACTTAAAGTAGTTGAAGATCTATTTAATGTGCATTAGTAATGTGTTAATATGTGTTAACATGGCCAAGTAATTGATTTTTCGTTTTTTAGGAAACATTTTTTAGCTATGAAAAAAAGTCTTTATTAAAGCTAAGATTTTCTTATTTTTAGTGCATTAAAAAGCATATTTTTATTAAAAAATTAAAGGTTATTTATCAGCTTACAAGTTTTACTTCCATCAAAATGGACCAGTTGTTATATTTTACATCTTAAAAACCATTTACTCAGAAAAATATATTGTGTTAATATTGAGTCTACATAAGTAAGCCAAACCACATGAGAAAGACTTAAGCTTTAATGCGAGATAATAATGGTATGTTTATTCTTCAGTGCAATAAGTTTAGGTATGTGTGTCCAAACAAACAAAATGGCGGCCCACATGAAAGTAACTCATACACTTTACGAAGACTCAACAATAACTCTAGCCTTATTTGCTGATATAGAGTCATGCAAGATCCTTAGGCAAAATGTCATGAGTGGTTTAATCGAAGCAAGTCTTCTTAAAGCAAATATGGTAATAATTACTAATTACGTTAATTTTATTTTTAGTAATTTTGTTTTTTCAGTTTTAAAAAAAAAAAAATTCACTTCAGTTTTCAGTGACCAATCCAATAATAAAATAACTGAGTTAGTAGGCCTGCCTAATAGTAATAGTTAGTAAATATAAGAAATAGATCTAGGAAGTCTTATAGAAAGAGTAGAGTTAGTAAGAAGACTGAAGAGTCAATTAAATTTAAAATCTTATTCAGATTTTGTAGGGCCTAGCCTAATTAACTAATTATTAAATTAAACTAGCCTAATTAGTTTAGTAGGCCCTATACTTTTTAAATAAATAATGTAGGCCCTAGGTCTATTTTTTCATATTTTTATTATTTCAGCTTTTGTTATTGTTATCTTTTCTTTTTTTTTTTAACTAATGCTCTTCTTTCACTCTCTAGGTGATTGATTCATTTCAAGTTTTGGTAGCAGCCAATAAGGCAGTCCACCTTCACCGTACAAACTCAATGGTAACAAAGAATGTGCACTCAGAGATTTTATATAGTCTTTCACCAAGCAAAAATGTAAGTCTTTTAAAATGATGATCTTTTAAAAAAAATACTTTCATTCAGATACCATTATGGTAACATTGGAGTATTAGTGTAATTAAAGAAAATGCATTTTCTTTTTAAATTGCGTTGTTAACATTAATTTTTATTCATTTCTCAATTTCAGTATTTTGAAATTTTAAAATAGTTAAACATTTAACAAATATTCAGGATGAATTCCTCATTATAATTTTCTTATTTAAATATATTTTTGTTATAAATAACTAATGGAATAATATTTATCTTGCACAGATTTCTGAATCTTTTCGATCTTTTGGTGTATCAGATTCAGACAAAAGTGTGTTTGTAGCTATTGTGGATGACGCTGATGACAAAACATTGAACAAAATAACGGAATTGCTGGGGAAAGAGCCATCTCAGTTAGATCAACTTCCAGAAATAGCAGACACAAAATTAATCACAAAGGTAATCAAAACTATATGGTCACATTTACACGAATGTAAATTTGCACTGGTTTAGTTGTATTTGTTTTCTTTAACAAATTAAATGCAGAAATTAATTTGCACATTTATCTTACGAAATTGCAACAGAAATATTTGATGGCAATCTGTTTGGTTCTGAAAATAGATTTTCCTGTTGTCCTCAGAGACAATGGGTGGGACAGTGTAGTGTGTGGTCTAGTGATAGACCACTAGAATATTTAGCGATAGGTTAAATTTGTACGCTAACACTCATAGCCGGACTCACCAAAATATGTTTTGAATAGCTAAAATCCTAGATTTTTTTCTCTGTTTTTCAACTGTTTTCTTTATGTTGGGGTTTATAGCTTTAATCAAAATATACATAGCATTCGAGTAAATGATAATTAATTAAAATTATGTAGTTTGAAATTAATTCAAAGTCAACCTTGTCTTTCATCATTTTGAATTTTGTTACCCCAGGTATATAAAGTAACAGAAGAGGAGTTATCAAACTTTTCTTTACTGGATTCGCTTGTGACCAGGATATCTTCAAAAGAAATAATAACAGCAGGGAAAGGAAAAAACTAAATTTTATTTGTGACATTACACTTACTCAATCATCTCATAATAATAAATCTTGTTTGTAAAATGCATTGGCTATTGACATTCATATATAGTTCTCGTATTTCAATGTGTGTGTAGGAAGTTATTTTCTTAAATGCATTGTTGTGGTTGTTTTAAAAAAAGTGAAGTTTTAAAAAAGTGAAATTTGACAGTGTGTAAATGAACAGAGTTACCCTTCAAATAAAAAAAAAAAAATCGAATAATCAAGGGATATAATCAGATTTGATTATTTTGTGAAAGTGTTAATTGAATTATTCCCCTTTTGCCTACGCGTTGTTACTCTGTGTAAAAAGTTTATGAACAAACAACATAATTCAAATACCGTACAGGCGGCGGTAGTCAACGGTTGAACTCCCCTAGCACTTAAAGGTCTTATAATTGGGTGTCCAGCACAGGGGCCAGGAGTAATATTTTGAATCAACGGTCTAACTGGGAGCCTCGTCCTGCGTCCCTAAGGTCATGTGACCCGGAGCACTATGACGCCTATAATGTTTAAAAAGAACGTCCTACACTATGAATACAATGTGCTACTTTAATCAATGACTAAATGCAATAAATAATTTAAAAACGATCGCTCATAAAAGCATGTGACACACTGGGCGGTCGACGAAGGGTGTTCTATTTTATAATCGCGGAGTGTGATCAACGTACACTCACGGTTTTATACAGCATACCCAGGGGTCTCTTACACTCTAGGTTTTATACAGCATACCCAGGGGTCTCTTACACTCTAGGTTTTATACAGCATACCCAGGGGCCTCTTACAACAAGGTTTTATACAGCATACCCAGGGGTCTCTTACACTCAAGGTTTTATACAGCATACCCAGGGGTCTCTTACACTCAAGGTTTTATACAGCATACCCAGGGGTCTCTTACACTCACGGTTTTATACAGCATACCCAGGGGTCTCTTACACTCAAGGTTTTATACAGCATACCCAGGGGCCTCTTACACTCACGGTTTTATACAGCATACCCAGGGTCTCTTACACTCAAGGTTTTATACAGCATACCCAGGGGTCTCTTACAACAAGGTTTTATACAGCATACCCAGGGGCTTCTTACACTCAAGGTTTTATACAGCATACCCAGGGGCCTCTTACAACAAGGTTTTATACAGCATACCCAGGGGCCTCTTACAACAAGGTTTTATACAGCATACCCAGGGGCCTCTTACAACAAGGTTTTATACAGCATACCCAGGGGCCTCTTACAACAAGGTTTTATACAGCATACCCAGGGGCTTCTTACACTCAAGGTTTTATACAGCATACCCAGGGGTCTCTTACAACAAGGTTTTATACAGCATACCCAGGGGCTTCTTACACTCAAGGTTTTATACAGCATACCCAGGGGCCTCTTACAACAAGGTTTTATACAGCATACCCAGGGGCCTCTTACAACAAGGTTTTATACAGCATACCCAGGGGCTTCTTACACTCAAGGTTTTATACAGCATACCCAGGGGCCTCTTACAACAAGGTTTTATACAGCATACCCAGGGGCTTCTTACACTCAAGGTTTTATACAGCATACCCAGGGGTCTCTTACAACAAGGTTTTATACAGCATACCCAGGGGTCTCTTACACTCAAGGTTTTATACAGCATACCCAGGGGCCTCTTACACTCAAGGTTTTATACAGCATACCCAGGGGCCTCTTACACTCACGGTTTTATACAGCATACCCAGGGTCTCTTACAACAAGGTTTTATACAGCATACCCAGGGGCCTCTTACAACAAGGTTTTATACAGCATACCCAGGGGCTTCTTACACTCAAGGTTTTATACAGCATACCCAGGGGTCTCTTACAACAAGGTTTTATACAGCATACCCAGGGGCCTCTTACAACAAGGTTTTATACAGCATACCCAGGGGTCTCTTACACTCAAGGTTTTATACAGCATACCCAGGGGCTTCTTACACTCAAGGTTTTATACAGCATACCCAGGGGCTTCTTACACTCAAGGTTTTATACAGCATACCCAGGGGTCTCTTACAACAAGGTTTTATACAGCATACCCAGGGGTCTCTTGAAGGGAGTGTGGACAAGCCCGCGCCGACTAAATTTAGATTTAAATAACTCGGTTCTAGAAAACGGTAGTGCTTATTTCGGCGAACGATTGAGGAAATACGCAACATACTTGGATCCTCGCAGATCCGTTTGAGGATATAAATATATCCTCTAAACTACGTGTCTATTTACGATTTCCCGAAGGTTTATTATGCTAGTTGGAGATGTTATCAAACACCACACCCTAAACGCCAACATTTCCGATGCGGCACTGACTCCTGATTATTCAATGTGAACTTAATTAATCTTAAACACACGCCTAACATTATTAATAACATTTCATTTATATCCGCAAGCCAGAGTGATTTTTTTCCTTGGTATTTTTGGAAGTCGAAAAACGTTTTTGTGTGTCATATTGAAATCACGGTTTTAGAAAATTTCATGAATCGACAAAATTGAGTTAAAAATGTTTAAGTGTTAAAAAGTTTAAATATATTAAAAAGTAGCGGCTTGTATACTTGTCGAGGAGGGAGAGGGGAAGGAGGCAGATGGAGGATGATTAAAAGTTTAAAATAAAAGTAAACTAATACAATTAGGGGTCGTCCATAAATGACGTCACACTCTTAAGGGGGGGGGGGTGGGTCAGTAATTTCGTGACGGTGTGTGATGAGGGAGAGAGGGGGGTGTTCAGATGGTGTGACGTCACACTTTTGGATTATAAAAAAAAAGCAATGATAGAAAACGAATTTTAGCCGTTATTTCGCGTTTTAGAAAATTGTTTTGATAAAGTGTAATAGAAATTGATTGGAATACTCTATGCTGACAGAGTTCAAACTAGATTTGGGAAAATATCGCTGTTTTAAGAAATATTGAACTGCTATTCTGAGGGGTGTTGTAGGCTGAGGGGTGACGTCATTTTAGAGGGGTGGGGGGAGGTCTGGCTTTTTGTGATGATGTGTGACTGAAGGGAGGGGGGGGGGGAGGTAATCCAAAAAGCGTGACGTCATTTATGGATGACCCCCCCCCCCCCCCCCCCCCCCCCCCCCCTTGGGCCTAACCTTTCTGATACGGATTTGAAGACTACTGTCCCACCACAAGTGTAAAGCAATCATAAATGGGAGATAACTTTACAACTAAATTTTAAAAACTCAAATCTCTTTTCTAAGAAAAAATACAAATTTTTTTTTTTTAGAGAATACATACATGTGTTGGTTAAATAAGGTCAACTAATTTGTTACACATTTTACACATAGTTGAGACCATACTATACCAATGGAAGGATTATTTATTTTTCGAAACTTATACATTTACGTAAAAGATTCTTAAATAATTAATTTTAATTTTAATTCACAGTTTATTCATTACACCGTTTAGAAATCTACTACTTTTCTTATAATCGTATGATCATACTTTTAGGGATCATTTCTAAAGTTGGTCTTGCCGGGACGTTGAGCAAAAACTAAATGCATCCAGTCCTCATCTCCATGCACTAGAAATGGACTATGCAACTATCACGAAAGTCAACAATGGAGTTGCGCCCATTTTTGTTCCCTCTAGGTCGAGAGATCCGGAGAGGAGCCACCCGGACTACGGTTCGGTTGGCTTAATGAAAACTTGGGCCCAATCCCTTTCAGATATCAAGACAACAATCACCATCGACCAGTCTGATGAAATAGCTCCTGAGCTTTTCGACTCGCCTACATTAATTCAAGTCACCATCAAATCAAGCAACCACCAGAACATCCCTGGTCACCTCTTGCGCAATATCATTAGCCCACACCAGATCCTGCTGCTCAACTATGGACGAGGGGATACCTGGTAATTCTCGTCCAACGAGTTTGATGCAGCGGATCTGGACGGCACCACCAAAACACACGGCCCATACACGTTGAATTTCGACAGATACTTTAAGGACAAAATCATCGGAACCCTGAGATGGGTCCCGCCCGCCCTGAGCAACGAAACACTGATTAAGGCACTGCAAACAGTCAGCAAATCTACACATACAATAACCACAATCCCGCACACAAACAATCGCAGATTCACCATCCAGAACGACAATCCACAACACATCCCACACTACATCAAAATTACATACAAAGACACAACACGTAATATCCTCATCGCACTGCCAGGAAGACGCCAAGCCTGTCAGGTGTGCGGCTCGGACAGACACTGGACCAACCACTGCCAATCATCAACACCAGAGTCAACACCCAATGTTCACCTGTCAACAACACAGGAATCAACTCAACAACCATCCTCACAGACAATTTTAACAGAACCACCTAGGGCACACTGGAGAAACACAAAGCCCAGATTAAGAAATAGATAACACCACGTCAATGAAAAGAAAAAATGAAATCAGCCCCACAGAACAAGGAAAATTAACAAAAAAACTCGCGAATCAAATCTTCGATCGCCTGACAAACACCTTAGAAACCCAGCCGCAACAAGAAACTACCACTGAACCAATTTAAATTCCCAAACCTTTAACTCCTGGAAAAGACAAGAGCTGCGGTTATTGCTTTCACAGTTTCAGTACTGCCAGCGAGTGTAAAACACATACAAAAACTTCCCATCCTGATACGAGTAAATGCCCGCATTGTAACAATCTGATCAAAAGCAGAGAAGCAATAAAGCACCGCATACTAAAACACCCAGACACCTCCGTCTTCCAGTGTGGATACTGCCTAACAAGTCTATACACCAAATACGACATAGAAAAACACCTCAACGACCAGCACCCCGACAACGACCTCTGCCACAATAAAATATTCTACATCCTCAACCCAGACAGATCCATTTCTTACATTTATGCAGACGACAGAACATAAACAGCGAGAAGGACAACTCTTCAAATATGACACGCTGTACTCACCCCTTAAACGAGTTTTGTCAATCCCTACTCATCCGGATCCCAACACTTTCATTTTACTTTATTAAAACATACATAATTAAACATACTCTTAATACGCTCATCCGGAAAAAATGGTTTCATTAGATGATAAAATTTAGTTAAAAAAAAGTGTATACATTTGTAAATTCATCTTGATATGTTTTTTTTAAAATAAGAACATTTAAAAAAATGTAAAATATGCTGATGTTGTTGCACTTGTTTTAAATTGCAAATAAAAGTTAAAATTTTTTTTATAATCATATGAAATTTCGTCCTCTAACTAAAACAGTACTCAAGTCATCATGCATGAGGAAATCATAGAGTAACATACATTTAATTTTAAACATCACATCACAGAATAAACATCAATGTACACATCACAATAAACTTCTCTACGTACAAACCACATCATACATCACTTTTGAACACCAGACCATTAGTGAGGAGGGGGGGGGGGGAGAGAGATTGAACATTTGAAATACTAACTTTGATTTGTTGTGGTAATAAAGTAAGTTATTTTGTCCCCCACTAAATTTAATTCTATTGTCCCCCACTAAATTTAATTCTATAGTCCCCCACTAAATTTAATTCTATAGTCCCCCACTAAATTTAATTCAATATTCCTCCAGTAAATTTAATTGTGTTAGAGGAATCCCTCCCAATACTAGAATCAAGAAAGAAGAAGAACTAAGTAGAAAAAAATTATGAAAATGACACAAAATAAACACAATCTAGTTTTTTTACGTTTTAATAAAACATCACACTACAATTTTAAATTTAAAAAAAAAATGTGTGTAATTTTTCCAGACAAAACAGTTTTTGAAAATAAAAACTTTTCCCAAAAATTTCCGACGACTTTTTTTGTATCACGCGAATTCCGTGGTGATCTGAGCTCGAGTTTCCGACAACAGCCCAGTGTAAAAATGGATGTAGACGTTACCTTGATCATACCACAGGCTCTTGATGAGGGTGAGTTTTCCTAATCCCACTGAGATTAGAGCCAATTTCCCTTGACGGTCACGTGTCACTTTGATTCTCACCTGCACAATGGCGTTCAATTAAAAAAAAAATATAAAAAAATAATAACAGCGCACATATAGTGATACTGTACAAATTAAAGTGAACCAATAAATATATAGTGAAACAATAAATGCATAGGGAACTAGCAAATGTATAGTGAAACAATAAATGTATAGGGAGCTAACAAATGTATAGTGAACCAACAAATGAAGAGGTTCTTTTAACAGGTTAAGTGAAAAATGAGCTGCATAAATACAAGGAAGTAATAATAAGTAAATTGAACAAGAAAGTAAACAACGTGTAGTGCTAATGCTTCCAAGAAATTATCCATACTAAATCAATCTGTTTTAACTACGATAACTTGTCCATACTAAATCAATCTGTTTTAACTACAATAACTTGTCCATACTAAATCAATCTGTTTTAACTACGATAACTTGTCCATACTAAATCAATCTGTTTTAACTACAATAACTTGTCCATACTAAATCAATCTGTTTTAACTACAATAACTTGTCCATACTAAATCAATCTGTTTTAACTACAATAACTTGTCCATACTAAATCAATCTGTTTTAACTACGATAGCTTTGACTATAAAATGTATTCTCCCAATTCCTTCTCCCAGGGGAGAAGTTGGACATGGCTATCTCAGGGGAGAAGTTGGACAGAAGAACTTGCCAGCAACGTTGCCGAGAGACAGAAGAACCTAGCGAGCACCGTTGCCGGGATACAGAAGACAATGAACCTCCAGGTTTACCGATTTCGGGGTTGTTTTCACGCGCAATGCCGACATGTCTGGTGAGAAGATCCTGAAAAATGGCCGCCGGCGACTGGAAACGATGATGCTGACATTAGTTCCTACAAGCAAGTCACTTATCTTGAAGCTGTCATTAGAGATAGAGGAAGAGGAATAATCAACGCACTATTATAGCATACTTTACTGTCTGTATATGCATGCAACACACACATGCATCCATACACACACGCAAACATATATATATATATATATATATATATATATATATATATATATATATATATATATGTATGTATATATACACATATATACATACATATATATAAGCAGTGTTCACCTTTTCAGTGATCTCGGCATATAAAGGGATGGTATGGTCAGCACTATGCCCAGCGCCTTAACTTGAGGCAGGTACCCGTCATAGCCGGGTGGACTTGGCGAGGTTCTCGAGACATTTCATGTTAGCAGTCGAATGCTCTACTGTCCCCATATGCATGTGTATGTATATAATAATAACTGTATAGATTGCAGTTTTACAGCTACTTAAACCTTGCTCAACTCTTTAAGCCCGCTTAGTGTTTCTAAAGGGAAATAACTATGAGACGAGAAAACCAGACGTACTTTTCCATGTTACAGGCCTTTGTGATGTCTATCTTGACGATCTTGTTATAGTTGTTGATTTCATACATGCTGAGACACAATATTGATAGAATCATGTTTAAGTAAATACATGATTTCCACTATACTTTCTCGAATATTCCTATTCTAGATCAATGACCCATAGAGGTCGAGAGTGATGACTTTTTCTCTAAACCGAAACCAAAACCAAAATCAGCACCTCAACTTCAACTTTAACTGGAAAGGGGTCGTCTATAAATGACGTCGCACTCTTAGGGAGGGGGGGGGGGGGGGTCCGTAATTTTGTGACGGTGTTTGTGTTGATTTTTTTAATGAAAAGCAATGTTAGAAAACGAGTTTTAGTCGTTATTTCGCGTTTTAGAAAACGCTTTTTAATAAATTGTAATAGGGATTGATTAAAATACTCTATATTGACAGAGTTCAGACTAGATTCAAGAAAAAATATCGTATTTTAAGAAAACTTCAACTGCAATTTTGATTGTAAGTGGGGGGGGGGGGGGGGGGGGTTGTAGGCTGAGGTGTGACGTCATTTCAGGGGGGCTGATCTGTCTTTTTGTGACGATGTGTGGCGAAGGGGGAGGGGAGGTAAAAATCATCAAAAACCGTGTCGTCATTTATGGATGACTCCAAACCAAAAATGTGATATCTAGAATCGGCATTTTAACCGATTTCCGAAATTTAACTTGAAATAAAACATTTAATAATCCTAACCTTAATTTTGAAAAACCGAAAGAATAATAAGTTCCCCTTCCAGTTAATGGAAATCGCAAAAAAAATTGATAGAGAACTAAAATAAAAAAAAAAATATAAAACTTATATAAAGTTTCAACTCAAGTTATCGTATTCACAGACAGACACACACACACACACACAAACACATGTATACATACACGGACAAAATTGCAAAACTAAGTTTATCCGACTTAGGGAGATGTAAAACGTTGAGATTTGTAAAAGTTTGGATTTCGATTTTTTTACGATAGTTCGTTAAAAGTGTTTCGTGGCTTGCGCGAATTACTTACTAACTTAAAGAATGAGTTTTTTATTATTGTATTATTATTATTTTTTTTATTTTTTTGAACACCGAACTTTACTCTACCTGTAATCATCTCACAAATATTAACCCTAAAGCTTATCTTAACCCTGAAATTAACAATGTTGGAGAAAAAAAAGTCAATTTAGAGTGTTTTTTTTGTCTAAGTTAACAGAATCAAACCCGACGAAATAAGCAGCTTGATTGATGGAATACACCAACATTAATTTACTTAAGACCGACGAAATAAGCTATTTGAAGGATGGAACACACCAATAATAACTTACTTAAGACCGACGAAATAAGCAGCTTGTAGTATGGAACACGCCAACAATAACTTACTTAATTCCGACGAAATAAGCAGTTTGAAGAATGGAACACACCAATAATCACTTACTGAACACCGACGAAATAAGCAGCTTGTAGTATGGAAGACGCCAACAATAACTTACTTAAGACCGACGAAATAAGCAGCTTGAAGGATGGTACACGATATGCTCTCGTACGTGTCGTTGACACCGTACCAGTAGAAAGTGTTGGCATACAATAAACATTCGGTTGTCGCCCTTAAAAAAATTCATGGAAAAATATCTTACGCATATCAAATATAAGACTACACGACCTAAATAATAAATCCAATTTATTTAATATTGCAAAGTAAATAATAACCCCCTCCCCCCCATTAGTATCTGTAAATATTTTTATGCTTAGAATACAACAAAATAAAACAATAAAATAAAATAAAATAAAATAAAATAAAATAAAATAAAATAAAATAAAATTAAAATAAAATAAAATAAAATAAAATAAAATAAAATAAAATAAAATAAAATAAAATAAAATAAAATAAAATAAAATAAAATAAAATAAAATAAAATAAAATAAAATAAAATAAAATAAAATAAAATAAAATAAAATAAAATAAAATAAAATAAAATAAAATAAAATAAAATAAAATAAAATAAAATAGATTAAAATAGATTAAAATAGATTAAAATAAAAAATAAAAAAATAAAATAAAAAAAAATAAAAAAAAAATAAAATAAAATAAAATCTACTTCGATAGTTACCACCGCCCCTCCCCCAACTTCACCCCTCCTTGCGACGCCATCGTTATATAAACCCACAGAAAACTTACGTTACCTGATCCCGAACATTTTAGCCATACGATAGAAGACTCGGGCGAACACGCCCCCGCTGTAATGTTCCGAATCGCTGTGCACTAAGTCGTCGACGGTCAGCATGGGCGGAAGTTCCAGAGACCGGATGGGCTGGCCATCCTCGTGTAGCCAGGAGGCCAGGGTCCACTCGAACATCCCGAAAATATAGAACTCCACCGTTTTAGCGAAAATATCCGCAAACGCTTCTCGTATGCCTGCGATTGGCCCCGTGCTGTTACTATATTAAAGTAGAATGTCGAGTTAACAAGTATTTACATTATTTACAAAATTATTTTTAATTAAATAAATTTATAAGAGAAACCTAGAATATGTACAGTTATGAAATTATTTTATTTAAGGAAAAAAAAAAACTAAATATTATTATATTTTTTTACAAATAGAATTTAAACATTTTTTTTTCTTTTAAATCCTAGGACAATTTTGAAGTCAAAACATTAACTTGGCTCAAAATATTATATATTTAAAACAACCACCCTTCAGCTGTTTCATAGAGGGACTTAAATTTTGGTACATATTTGTGCAACAGATGAAGTAAGACTAATGCAGCTACCAGAACTGTTTGGTGTAATTTTGACGGAATTAATCATATAATCTTAGTACATTTAGCACAGATCTTCAAACTTATCTGATGAGCATAATTCAACGTTGATTAATATCTGAATCCTTCTCCATGATCAAATGAGCAATACAATCTTTAAACTAATCGGATAGGCATACCTTACCGTTGATTAATATCTGAATCTTTTTGCATGATCATATGAGCCAACTCGTGAGCTACCATATCCGGTGCAGTGGCGTAGGACGTGTCTTTAAAGTCTCCGTCTCCGAACAACAGAAGGTCTTCCTTCATGTAGGAGTTGGCCAGAGCCACGCCGTAGTGGACGCCAACCTTGACCGGCGGATTGCGAAGTTTGGTGTAGTTGTACCAGACTGTGAGATATTTTAGAGGTTTGGTGTAGTTGTACCAGACTGTGATATTTTAGAAGTTTGGTGTAGTTGTACCAGACTGTGATATTTTAGAGGTTTGGTGTAGTTGTACCAGACTGTGATATTTTAGAGGTTTGGTGTAGTTGTACCAGACTGGGAGATATTTTAGAGGTTTGGTGTAGTTGTACCAGACTGTGATATTTTAGATGTTTGGTGTAGTTGTACCAGACTGGGAGATATTTTAGAGGTTTGGTGTAGTTATACCAGACTGTGATATATTATAGAGGTTTGGTGTAGTTGTACCAGACTGGGAGATATTTTAGAGGTTTGGTGTAGTTGTACCAGACTGGGAGATATTTTAGAGGTTTGGTGTAGTTGTACCAGACTGGGAGATATTTTAGAGGTTTGGTGTAGTTGTACCAGACTGTGAGATATTTTAGAGGTTTAGTGTAGTTATACCAGACTGGGAGATATTTTAGAGGTTTGGTGTAGTTGTACCAGACTGGGAGATATTTTAGAGGTTTGGTGTAGTTGTACCAGACTGTGATATTTTAGAGGTTTGGTGTAGTTGTACCAGACTGGGAGATATTTTAGAGGTTTGGTGTAGTTGTACCAGACTGTGATATTTTAGAGGTTTGGTGTAGTTGTACCAGACTGTGAGATATTTTAGAAGTTTGGTGCATTTTTACCAGACTGGGAGATATTTTAGAGGTTTGGTGTAGTTGTACCAGACTGTGATATTTTAGAGGTTTGGTGTAGTTATACCAGACTGTGATATTTTAGAAGTTTGGTGCAGTTTTACCAGACTGGGAGATATTTTAGAGGTTTGGTGTAGTTGTACCAGACTGTGATATTTTAGAGGTTTGGTGTAGTTATACCAGACTGTGTGATATTTTAGAGGTTTGGTGTAAAACACCAGACGATGAAACATTTTAGAGTTTATGTGTAGTTATACCAGACTGTGAGATATTTTAGAGCTTTGGTGTAGTTATACCAGACTGCGATATTTTAGAGTTTTGGTGTAGTTGTACCAGACTGTGTGATATTTTAGAGGTTTGGTGTAGTTGTACCAGACTGTGTGATATTTTAGAGGTATGGTGTAGTTATACCAGACTGTGAGATATTTTAGAGGTTTGGTGTAGTTGTACCAGACTGGGAGATATTTTAGAGGTTTGGTGTAGTTGTACCAGACTGTGATATATTATAGAGGTTTGGTGTAGTTATACCAGACTGTGATATATTATAGAGGTTTGGTGTAGTTGTACCAGACTGTGAGATATTTTAGAGGTTTGGTGTAGTTATACCAAACTGGGAGATATTTTAGAGGTTTGGTGTAGTTGTACCAGACTGTGTGATATTTTAGAGGTTTGGTGTAGTTATACCAGACTGTGAGATATTTTAGAGGTTTGGTGTAGTTGTACCAGACTGGGAGATATTTTAGAGGTTTGGTGTAGTTATACCAGACTGATATTTTAGAGGTTTGGTGTAGTTATACCAGACTGATATTTTAGAAGTTTGGTGTAGTTGTACTAGACCGGGAGATATTTTAGAGGTTTGGTGTAGTTGTACCACACTGAGATATTTTAGAGGTTTGGTGTAGTTGTACTAGACCGGGAGATATTTTAGAGGTTTGGTGTAGTTGTACCAGACTGGGTGATATTTTAGAGGTTTGGTGTAGTTGTACCAGATTGTGATATTTTAGAGGTTTGGTGTAGTTGTACCAGACTGGGAGATATTTTAGAGGTTTGGTGTAGTTATACCAGACTGTGATATTTTAGAGGTTTGGTGTAGTTGTACCAGACTGATATTTTAGAAGTTTGGTGTAGTTGTACCAGACTGGGAGATATTTTAGAGGTTTGGTGTAGTTGTACCAGACTGTGATATTTTAGAGGTTTGGTGTAGTTGTACCAGATTGTGATATTTTAGAGTTTTGGTGTAGTTGTACCAGACTGATATTTTAGAGGTTTGGTGTAGTTGTACCAGACTGTGTGATATTTTAGAGGTTTGGTGTAGTTGTACCAGATTGTGAGATATTTTAGAGGTTTACAAAAGCGTATCAAACTGGGTTAAAGTTTAGAGATTAGTCATATCAGACTGTAATATACAATTGATTGATTTTTTTACTTATATATATATAAGCCGTATATTTAATGTATTACAAAGATCAATTAACAAATTACTTTGAATACAGTTGAGGAATTAATATATTTTCATAATATTTTATGCTCAGCTTTTAAATTACATAACTTTTTTCGTCCTGATAGTAATGCCTGTAGTACTTAAATATTGGTAAGTAATTGCTTTAATCGTTCTAAACCCTTTTGAAGGTGCACAACCCCACCAGTTTTATATGCGCATTCACTGAAACCTTCTTAATAGTTCTATCGACCATAGGGCTGGTAAGTAGGTCACCAACCCGTTCTACAGCTCAATAAAACCTGCATAAGCCGTAGAACTGGTTGGTGACCTACTTAACAGCCCTATACTGATAACACTCTCTAACTTTCTCTGGCCTTGACCTAGTTTCAAACTTACTATCTTGGTTTCTCTGGCATTGACCTATATTACCATCCAGCAACCCCAGGCCATGACGGAGCTTGAAACTGACCTTCTAGCATCCAATGACCTTGACCTAGTATAAGACTTACACTCCAGCATTCTCTGGCCCTGAGTGACGTAAAAGAAGCCGTCCATCAACGGTGACACGGCGCCATTGGTCCGGTCAAAGTACATCTTCTCACAGTCAAAGGTCAAAGGTTTCGCGCTCTTGATTGTATCCCAGTTTTCAATGTTCCGGATGTCAGCAGCTGTAAATAGAAGGGGGGGGGGGGGACGAGGGAGGGGGGGGGGGGGTGAAAATTCAATTTATTCCATTCAAGACAAACGTTCGTTCATTGAAAATGTCTAGTTTGGGCTCCGGTTATACCCGGGTAGTGGAAAAATAAAATACAAAATTTTGATTTCGTTTTTTTTTCGCAATATATCTCTTATTTGTAACAATGAATGGAGTATTCACAATTAAGTATGAGTGTCGTCATTTTGTGCACACTAAAACAATTTCATAAAAAACGTTTTAATAACAAGCTTTTATGTAATAATGCACTAAAAAGGAGAAAATAAGTTATACACTACTATTAATCCGCCCCTAGTCACGTCCACCTTAATCCGCCCCTGGTCACGCCCACCTTAATCCACCCCTGGTCACGTCCACCTTAATCCGCCCCTGGTAACATTAAAACACCTACAGCGTACCTGTTACATTGCTAATTACACTCGACCTCTACGTACTTGCTAATTGTTAATTAAACTCACCCTCCACGTACTTGTTGCTCAGGATGCATTTCTTGCGGTCTGCTGTAAATGACGTCATCAGACAAAATGGCTTCCGTCCAAAAAAAATGGGGCCATTGTAGTAGCTTCCGCCGACACCCTTCGCCCGACTTCTGCAAGGTGTCCCTAGGTCGGCTTTTCACACCGAGAAAATAAAGTAAATTTTAGGAATCTGATATTTGAAATCTATAACTTATAAACTATACGACTAAGTTCTACATAGATAAAGACTTAATATATAACCGCCCTGAAAAAATAAAAATAAATTAAAGGAGAATATGCCCTATATATATATATATATATATATATATATATATATATATAATATGTCTGGTTCCATGACAAATGATCTCAGAAAAAGTATCTCAGGACAAATAATATCATGAACCAATGATCTGAGACTTATACACACGAACATAGGAAACAATTCTTTGTTTGCTAATACTTCAACAAATCCTATTTACTTTCTGTCATGTTGTTGGTCTTACAAAAACAACAACAACACATTTTTTTGTGCTGTTGTTGGCCTATACTACAACAAAACTTACTTTTTGTGCTTTTTTTGGCCAATACAACAACAACACTTACTTTTTATACAACAACACCACATACTTTTTGTGCTGTTGTTGGCCTATACAACAACTACAACACTTACTTTTTGTGCTGTTGTTGGCCTATACAACAACACCACATACTTTTTGTGCTGTTGTTGGCCAATAAAACAACAACAACACTTACTTTTTGTGCTGTTGTTGGCCTATACAACAACTACAACACTTACTTTTTGTGCTGTTGTTGGCCTATACAACAACACCACATACTTTTTGTGCTGTTGTTGGCCAATAAAACAACAACAACACTTACTTTTTGTGCTGTTGTTGGCCTATACTACAACAACAACACTTACCATTTGTGCTGTTGTCGGCAAATACAACAACACCACTTAATTTTTGTGCTGTTGTTGGCCGATACAACAACAACACTTACTTTTTGTGCTGTTGTTGGCCGATACAACAACACTTACTTTTTGTGCTGTTGTTGGTCAATGCAACAACAACAAAACTTACTTTTTGTGCTGTTGTTGGCCGATACAACAACAACAACACTTACTTTTTGGGCTGTTGTTAGCCTATACAACAACACTTACTTTTTGTGCTGTTGTTAGCCTATACAACAACACTTACTTTTTATACAACAACACCACTTACTTTTTGTGCTGTTTACGGTCACTGCCCGAGTACACCTGTTGATGGTGTAGATCATTCTGGAAACATAATTTAATTATTTCTTTCGTAAAAATTTACGGTTTCTCATACATTGGACAACTCACAACCTTCAGATAATAAATGAAAAAGGGAGGGTAAAGCATGATTTTCTTTCTTTTCTGTTTCATGATTTACTTGTTTCAGGTTGAAAATGTCAAATATTTGTTTATCTGCTAAAAACAGTTTAAGCATACACAGTACCACATCATGTAATTCTTACGTTTTTATACACACACACACACACACACAGACACACACACACACATATATATATATATATATATATATATATATATATATATATATATATATATATATATATATATATATATATATATATATATATATATATATTTATATATATATGTGTGTGTGTCTGTGTGTGTGTCTGTGTGTGTGAGGGGTGGTAGTATATGCTAGAACTAATATATTATGAAATGAGGAAAAGTGACTAGTTAAAAGATAAAACAGTTATGGTGAATAGGTCTAGATCAGGGGTCTCCAAACTACGGCCCGCGGGCCGGATGCGGCCCGCGAGATCATTTTATCCGGCCCGCGACGATCTTTTTGTCCAATTAATAAATGTGTGTTAAAGGTGACTGAGGAACTTTGCACAGAAAATTCAAAACAATTTTAAAAAGGTAGCTTAGGGTGCAAATACCATTGCCCGCCGTGTTGCAGACATTGGTGAAAACATCGTGACTCAAATAGCGAAAAATGCAAGCAAGCTTCGCCATTTTTCATTTGCAATGGATGAGTAGCTTGACAGTTGTTCCACCTCAACTTCTTGTGTTTATTAAGAGGTGTGGATGAAGACATGAACATAACACAAGCGCTGGCTTCCCTACATAGAATGTATGACACTGTTACAGGAGAGAATATCTTACCATAGATAGTTCAGAGACAAATACAAAATCGCAAGATTGATCATATTTCACATCAGTAAGATGGCTCATTATGCGAGAAAGTTCTGAGCAGAATATTTAAATTAAGAAAAAAAATAGGTGACTTCCTGAAAGTAAAGGCAAGCCACAATCATTATTGTCTGATGAAGAGTGGGTATAGAAATTGGCCTCTGCTGCAGACATAACTTACTAGTCATTTAAATTTTCTGAATCTAAAACGGCAAGAGAGGGAAATCTAGTTTCTGATCTATAAACCAACCTAAAGGCCTTTAGATACAAACGTGTCATGCTTTTGGAACAAGTACAGGCTAACAACTTGACACACTTTCAGCAGTGCAAGGTCTTTACGGCTGAAGCAAAACCACCGAGTTCCCCACGTCATTTACATACGAGATCATCAAAGACCTCCAGCTTGGGTTTCATTAGCTGTTCTCTTACTTGGACTCAAAGGCAGAAGAAGTGTGACTGTTTCAAAACCCATATGATGCAAATGTGGCCAGTCGCAAAGATGAACTGCGGCGGGAGGTCATTGAATTGCAAGAAAATGACTTCCTTAGAGACACGTTCAAAGAAGAGCGGATGGGTTTTTCATAAGATTTTGCACAAGGATGATTTTCCTAATATTAAAACTTCTGCATCAAAGTACCTTTTAAATTTTGGAACAACATACCTGTGTGAACAAACATTTTTAAGAATGAAATGCGTTCAGAATAATTTGAGTGCAGAGCAAACTTGGACCTCGTCTGTGATCGACCCCAGAAATTGTTTCTTCCGGACTTTTTACTAGGGAGGGGGGGGGGGGGAAGATGGGAGTGGACACTTAAAATGTGTATATATTTCTATATAAATTATATTTCGTTGGTGGGGGGGGGGGGGGGCGCTACCCCCCCCCCCCCCCCCCCGAAGAGATGCCTTAAAGAAACTCCGGCCCCCCAACTGATATTTGATAGTTAATGCGGCCCTCGGGCTGAAAAGTTTGGAGGCCCCTGGTCTAGATCAAGGTCAAAAAGTCCTGTCTGTGTTTTATAATGTAAGCACGATCCCATAACGCTGATGGTGCACTTGAAAAAATTATACCAGTGTATGTGAATTAGACAACCAGACAATTTGACAGAAAACTAGACAGACAGACAATTAGACAGACAGACAATTTGACAGACAATTAGACAGACAAATGACACACTTGAGAAAACCACTTGTGGTGTACTTAAAAGAAATGATAACGGTGTTTGTGAATCAGACATGCAGAAAGACAATCAGACAGACATACAATCAGACAGACAAGTAAACAGACAATCAGACAGACAATTATAAAATCCGACAGACAAGTTAACAGACAATCAGACAGACAATTATACAATCCGACAGACAATTAGACAGACAATCAGACAGTCCGACAGACACTTAGACAAATGACGTACTTAAGGAATCCACTTGTCGTGTACTTGAATAAATGATACTGGACAGCATTCAAATCACGGCCGTTGCTGACGTCGTTTTCGTCAACGATCTCAAAATTACCATCTTCATACCTGTGTGAAACACACAGCCAAACTTGAAACAACATGATTTCACACAAGAGAAAATGTTGCATGTATAGTTTTTTCAATCACTTTCTTTTCATTTCTTCAGTGCCTGCGCCAAGTTATTTAGCGCCTTAGGCAAAACTTATTAAAACGCCCCCCCCTGCAATTTTTTTGAGCCCCTATATATATATATATATATATATATATATATATATATATATATATATATATATATATATATATATATATATATATATATATATATATAAAATTACTGTAGAACAATCACTGCTGCAATCGAATAGTTTTTTGTGGTTACAAAACCACTATTCTATCAAGGTGCAAAAAATATAATATTTTGTAGGATTTTGTCTCTCCCCCCCCCCCCCCCCCCCCCATCCAAACGAAATGGAATTTATTTAGAAAATATATACTTTTAACCGTGTCCCGTCCCCCGTCCCCCTAAAAGTTTAGTCAGTCCCCGTCCCCCCCCCCCCCCCCCCTCTTCCGAAAATTTTAAGTGCCCCCGGAGAAAAAAGTCTGGAAGAAACATTGGTGAAAAAGCGCCCCGACCTTTTAAAATGAGGAGGTTGGGGCGCATTTTCACCAACGCGCAAGCTGAGGCTCAAAATTGGTAGTTCGTTCTGGGCACCTAAATAGATCGGTACGCTTTTGTATATATAATTTAATCAAAGTTATCAATTATTAGGTACTTTTTAATAATGGCGATTTCACATTTATGCGCCCCCCCCCTATGGACAGCGCCCTAGGCGGCCGCCTAGTTCGCCTTATAAGTAGCGCCGACCCTGCATTTCTACAACATTCATACATAGTAAGAATACAAAAAAAAGGCAACAGGGAGTAAAGTTCATGTTAAATGAAACTGCAATAACTTCCGTTATCTCATTAGATACGACGTCTTAGATTGGAGAAAGGGGAGACTACTATATTATATAAACAGGAAATAAACTAGTTTATTTAAAGGTGGTGTTTAGGGGTCTTCCATAAGTGACGCCATGTACGTAATGGGAGTTGGGGGACGGGGAGGGAGGGACTGTTTTGAGTGTTTTACATTGTCAACACCATTTACATCTGCAGCTTTACACTATCGTTAACGTAACTGATATTGTTATCGTATCATTTTTATTATTTACATTATTATCATTATCCTCAACTTCATTATTATTGTAATTACTATATTATTGTTGTTATTCTTATTTTTGTTGTTATTATTATATGGTTATTAATTTAAATAAACCGGGAGTGATCTCCCCTAAACTTTCTCGAATATTCTTATATAAAATAACAGGGGATGGGAACTCGGGCTATAGACATGATTTTTAATCCATTTTAAATACTAAAAGTTTTAAAAATAGAATAAAATCTCGTAGACAAATTAATTGCACACCAAGTGAACGCGAATAAAAAAGCGCATAATAGTGCGCAATATTATTAGTACTTTTAAAATTTACATTAGTTTTTTGAGAAATCGGAAGTAGCGTAAATAAGTACTTCCGGTCAACGAAAAATTCTCAAAATTTGACAGAAGGTAGAAAATTAGATCTTTTACTTACATATCAAATTTCATTTATCTATCTGAAATAGTACTCAAGTTATAGGCTTTTGAAAAATTCAAAGTAGAAAAAGTACCACTTCCGGTTATCCGAAATCGCTCAAAAGTTGATACGGATCTACGATTTTGATAAAATACTTATATATGAAATTTCATCAACCTAGCTGTAACGGTACTCAAGTTATCGTGTTTACACACGGACACACACACACACACAGACACACAGACATACGGACAGAATTGCAAAGCCCAGTTTTTCAGACTGGAATACGCATAAAACCTTTTAATTTTGATAAATCTGGATTGATAATTTTTGCCCGATTAAAATAAGTCCTCTATACTTCGGATGTGATGAAGGACTGAGGTGTAATACGGTGAAAATAGTTAAAATTTCAAGTGATTTTTGTGCACGATTACAATACTTTCTCTATACTTCGTATATACGAGAAAGTAAAAAAAATTATATTTATTATTTTTAATATTTTTTTATTCCTTTTATTACTTTCTCGTATATACGTAGTATAGAGAAAGTATTGTAATCGTGCAAAAAAAAAAAATCGAGATTTTTACAAATCTCGACGTTTTACACCTCACTGATACGGAAAAACATAATTTTGCAATCTTGTCCGTATGTCTCTGTGTGTGTGTGTGTCTGTGTGTGTGTCTGTCCGTGTGTAAACACGATAACTTGAGTACCGTTACAGCTAGGTTGATGAAATTTCATATATAAGTATTTTATCAAAATCGTAGATCCGTATCAACTTTTGAGCGATTTCCGATAACCGGAAGTGGTACTTTTCCTACTTTGAATTTTTTAAAAGCCTATAACTTGAGTACTATTTCAGATAGATAAATGAAATTTCACATGTAAGTAAAAGATCTAATTCTCTACCTTCTGTTAAATTTTGAGTAATTTCCGTTGACTGGAAGTAGTAATTTACGCTACTTCCGATTTCTCAAAAAACTAATGTAAATTTTAAAAGTACTAATAATATTGCGCACTATTATGCGCTTTTTTTATTTGCGTTCACTTGGTGTGCAATTAATTTGTCTACGAGATTTTATTCTATTTTTAAAACTTTAAGTATTTAAAATGGATTAAAAATCATGTCTATAGCCCGAGTTTCCATCCCCTGTTATTTTATATAAGAATATTCGAGAAAGTTTAGGGGAGATCACTCCCGGTTTATTATTTTATTATTGCTATTATTTTTATTAGGCCTACTTTTATTATTTTTATTATTTTTACTATTTTCATTATTTTTATATTTTTTAATTCTTTAAATTCTTTTTAATATTTTTTATTATTTCTATTATAGTAAGGGGAGTAATGATGTTGATAGCATCCCATTTAGACAAGGTGCATCAATGACCCCCCCCCCCCCCCCCCCCCCTTACTGAAACAATTTACGTTTTAATGATGTTGATAGCATCCAGCTTAGACAATGTGCAGTGTTGCCTCTTGACCGCGCTTGTGATGTGAGAGTCGGGCGATGTTTTGCTACTTAACTCCGCCCCCTCATCTTGCGTGCCATCTTGTTGGTCTATGACGCCATCCTGTGTGTCTGTGATACCATCGTCACTGACGTCACCGTGCGCGGCTGTGACATTATCCTGCGTGACGTCATCCGGCGCAACAGTGACGTTATCGCGTGAAATCTTCGCCTCTGTAAAGTTTCTTATCCTTTGTGTTTCGTCACCTTTCTTAACCGTCACATTACCCTGGCTATGCGTGACGTCACTCGGCGTGTCCCTGACGTCATCACGTCCGTGTGTGACGTCACGACGCGGCTGCAGGACGCCGCTGCCGGGCGTGAGCTGGGAGACGTGGCTGAAGGCCTGGATGACGTCAGCCACGGCCCGACCGTCACGGACCAGCCGGACCCTCCTCAGGACCGACGAGATGGGGGTGACCACAGAATCTCGGACCAATGTCTGGAATCAGCAAGAGAATAAATAAGGTCAACCACATTTAAGACATGAGGTATACGTAAACCTTGTTACTTAACATTAATTTGTACCAGAGGCGTAGCGAGGGGGGGGGGGGGGGGGGGGGGCTGGGGGTGCGGACCGCACTGGGTGACACCATTTAGGGGATTGACACCAAGGCAAAAAATAGCAAAATATATAGAGAAAAACTTGAGGGGGAGGGTGCAAATTGAAAGTTCGAGGGGGGTGTAAATCGAAAGTTTGAGGGGTGGGGGGGGGGGGGGGGTGCAAATCTAAAATTTGAAAGTTTTTCCCGGGAAGGGTCGCTACGCCTCTGGGGGGGGGGGTGACACCATTAAATGCCGCACCGGATGACACCCGACCTCGCTAAGACACTGCCTGAAACTAACTAGTTCGATTGCCTGGCTCATGTTTTTGACCTGCTTGATTAATTAAGTCTTAATGGGCAATGTGAAGGTCACGGACAACTCTGGATCGCCATGTCTATCAGTGAACATCTAAACCCTAATTGTATATTGTATCTAAAACAACTTGTGTTTTTATTACGTTTAGTCTCATCGGTATGGCGTTTAGAATCTGTTTCTGTTATTGCTAACGGTAAATCCAACTCTATTCCTTGTCTCAACTGTTGCCATGATTCTACCCTTTGCTTTCACCATAATCCAGACTCTTGCCCTAAACCCTAATCCTTACTCGAACAACAATACAGGCAAAATAAAAATCTTCATTGCTCAACTGACGGGTTTCTAAATACACGGTAATCAGTTATATAGTGTGTACTGACGTGTTTCAGGGTTGACACCAAAATTGTACAGTAAGGGGTGTTTCTCTCTGGCTCCTCTGCTATAAGAGGAGGGGGGGGGGGGATCTCACGTACATCCCACCCTTCGACGAAACATAGTTGTTGCAGAAAATATATTCTGTTTCCAGTGTCCGTCCACCCCTCCCCACCTCACACGGCAATATCAAGCGCCCCCCCCCCCCTTTAGAGAAATACGTATGAAGGCGTCCCCGAAATACCGCTAACCTGTACTTCGACCCTCCCCACCCCTCACGAAAATGTCAAACGCCCCCCCCCCCCCCTTTAGAGAAATACGTCTGAAAGAGTCCCCAAAAGACCACTAACCTGTACTGCGACTCTCCCCACCCCTCACGAAAATGTCAAGCGCCCCCCCCCCCCCTCAGAGAAATAAGTCTAAAAGAGTCCCCAAAAGACCACTAACCTGTATTAACCTGTGCTGCGACCCTTAAACAAACTTTGAACAATGTAAGTGTTAAAATTAACCTTGTCCAGCCTTACCTGTAGCACCTTGCAGCCGTACCTCGTCTTGTAATCGACTCCCTCATCTCTAAAAACTGGCACCCTCTCCTCTCGAACGTTCGACTCGTGGTATATCGCCATATAGTAGCGACCTTTGGTCAGCGGACGTGCACAGCTGACCAGCACACAGAGGGACCAGGCGAGGTACGATAGAACAAGATGGTGAGCAGCTACACAGCACATCGTGGACAGAAAGGGAGCAAGGATTAAATAAATCAATTTTATTCTAACATAGGTTGGTTATTGATTTTTGTGAGATAAGTTTAAATACCTAGCCGTATGACTTGTAATTACTTGTCTAAATTATTTTTAGGTTTGTTTAATCTAGACGAAGAAAAATCAATGTCGGGTTGAAGAAAACACAAAACATACTGTAACATATTAAAAAATGGGCTGATCAGTGTTTCTTTCAGACATTTTTTCTTCTCCATGAGGATACTTGAGACTTTCGGGGGGGGGGGGGGTGCACTGGTTCGAATATATATTTTCAATAATTTTTTTTCCATGTGCTTCAAAATAACTGAAACGGCGCTAAAGTTTGCGTGTTTACAGTCACGCAGACACACAGACAGACACACATACAGACACATAGACACACAGGCTACAGACAAAATTGCTAAACTAAATTCCTCTACACTCCTTATATGAGAAAGTAAAATAAAATGTTATTTGCTGTCAACAAACCCAATCACATGATTCTTGTGACTGTAAGCCACGCCCCCACCGTCACGCGATATTTATTTAGTTTTTTTATTTCCGCGAAGTTTGGCCTACAACGCCACCAAGGTTACCGCGTCAGGTGACCGGTGCTCTAGGACCCACCTTCAGTGTATGGTCGCTGGTTATTTGAGGACTGTGTTCTACTGTTAACAAAAAACCCTCCAAACTTGACCTTTCTGTACTAAGGCTGATCAAGTGCCATTAGATTCTACCAGCGCTTACTGAAGGTACAGAACAGCTGGATATTTACATTTTTCGTCACTTTCTCACACTTAAATATATGCATGTGTATAGGCATATATAATAAATATTCACGTGTGAATAATGTATTTTATTAATATTTTTTTTTATAATTATATGACAATAAACTTATAGAAAAACCACTCTGTCTTCTGCTTTTAAAAAAACGTCCATAAAGGGTTTAGGAAGAAATGCAGCCTATAGAAAAGCTCAAATTCATTTGAAGAAGTTGTCTGAGATATATAGCTCCATGACATCATTCTATCATACACACAAAACACTCGCCTTTTTCTCCATGACATCATTCTATCATACACACAGAAGCTCGGATAGCCTGTTTTTTATTCTTTATGCTATGCGTCATCCGGCCCTTTGAATTTACTTCCACACTTTCGTCCATACAAGAACAAACTTAACGTCAGTAGTTGTTTGAATTTGGATTTTTTCTCACTCGGGTAAGGCTTTAGGAGCTCTGATGAACTTTGGTCCACTGTAGCACAGAGGCGTAGGGACCACTCCCGGCGCCCGGGACGAACTTGCCATTTGGCGCCCCTCCTGATATATTATATATATATATATATATATATATATATATATATATATATATATATATATATATATATATATATATATATATATATATATGTGTGTGTGTGTGCGTGCGACAGTCTAGAAAAGATTTAATAATTACGTGTACGAATTCGTTTCCTAAAATTTTACTTGAAGCCAATTAAATTCTTCTTAAGATGCCAATAATCCTTAAAAAACCCACTAATAATGTCATAAACAAATAAGCCTGATTTGTATTTAAACTATAGCTTGTAGCAGACGCTAATTTGTTTTGGCCAGTTTTTTATGTTCTATCTTTGGAACAGTCTCTGTTATATGTTACATAGTTGGATTATAAGTTTGTTAGAATAAGGTCGTAAAAGTGATACATTATAGCAAAGAATTAGAAACATTTATTGTGCACATTGGCATACGACATGTGTATTGCCTTGACTGGTTGATTGTATATTATAACAAGCTCAAGGAAACAAATTGAAATCCACCGGACACAACATTTGAAAAGTCTCGGATTTTGCGATGTGTACTGCCTTCTCGCACATACTCAATAACAAATGCAGAACAAATTAAACTGGTTAAAGGAGCAGTGATATTTAATTGATAGTGGCATGACGTTTAGATTAGAATCAGCGGCGATGAAATCCTTTTTATTTTTTTAAACCAATGAGGAATTCAAATGCATCGTCAAAAAATTAAAAAAAAAATCAGTCAGAATCTATAGCTAAATATGAAGTAAGTTACAGAAAGTGGAGATTGAAATAAGAGCAAAGACAAGGTGGTGGTTATTATTAGAACGACAGTAAATAGAATCACTAAGCAGGTGCTGGTGTAGTCCACGGGGAAAGAGGAAGAGAAGGAGACAAATAGTCCTGAAGGAAATAGTTTGAATTAATATGGGGAGGATGTGTTATCAGGGATCGATCTTCATAAAAATCAAGTGAGTTGACGAAGTGTTGTCTACCCTATTCTCCTTAGGAAGCCGAAACCGCCCCCTCCCTAAATACGCCTCAGCTGTAGCAGTCTTGCTGTTTAAAATTAAGTCTCCTCGAGGGAGATCCTTGGGTATCAGAGCACTTCTATGTTGGAGATCTCGGCTTGAGGCGTGGGCGAACTCTTACAGTTTAGCGGTGTCTTCGGCGTGAGGCACCGCTGTAAAGAGTCGTGGTTTAAAAAAAAGCGTATGCATTGAGATGATGGTTGTCCAGAGGCACAATAACTAAGAGTGATTTATTTTTTTATTCTCTATTGAAGGTTTTGAGACTTTAGACAACAAAGTAGATAAACAAGCGTGTTGGTTTTTTTTCCAGTTGATGCAGAGGGCTTACTGGTTGTATTTAAATTATCGTTGTTGACCTGAGACTCTAAACTACATTCACCATCATCATTTTTCCTTTTCGTTCCTTGCTGAACAGAGGGGCCCCTGTCAAAGCTTTCCACTCCCCACGGCCTCCTGCTACACTTTTCAGCCTTTCCCAATTCCTTCCTCAACTTTCGGCCTCATTGAACACGCTACGTTGCCTATGGGACCATCTATATTTATGTGAATGTGACTACTAAAACTTGACGAAATTATTGTAAAAAGTCAACACAAAACGCAATACTTTTCTAATCATTATTACTTTATTAGGACATTTTTTTGTAAATCACAACTATCTTGCTATTAACAATCATTCTATTTTGGTTCAACAAAAATATTTTTAGGAATAATCATGTTAGCATTTGAAAGCAGTATCTTTACAAAGGAGAAGGAATATTTTTGTATCAGCAAATTCTATTTATCTCAGAAAACCTATTTCAATCGATTTTATACATACAAGGAATCTAATATATAAAGCCCAAACGTTTTTTATACCTCTATATGTGACAGCGCACGAGCCCTTGGCAAAAGAGGCCTATAGTAAAAACTCAATTTGATCGCCGTTGTGTAATATTTTAAAGCGTTTATTCTCTAAACTAGCCTTCGATACCCGTTACACGTGAATTTTAGGACTTTATATTTTAATGTAATTTTTGTTTGAGAAAAATATTTTATAAAATAGTTATTGGTCAAAGCGCAATGTGCTTTACTACACGTTACACGTGAATTTTAGGACTTTATATTTTAATGTAATTTTTGTTTGAGAAAAATATTTTATAAAATAGTTATTGGTCAAAGCGCAATGTGCTTTACTACACGTTGAACCATATTAGTGACAAAGCAAAGAAATAACTAAATTGCTAATATCCGACGCACTTAAAATAAAATAGGCCATAGATACCTATTAGAAAAATGAAAACCAAATTATATACATTATAAGTCACACATTAAATGCTGTCATCGCCTACACTCTGTCCTTTCCTAGAACAGCAGGACTAGAGCTGGCACCAACACGACCAGCAGAGCTCCAGCACTGATATGGAGAGCCAGTCCCCGCTCCTCAACGGTTGGCGTAATGGCTGCCATGGCCAGGTAAACTTCCGTCTGGCATGAGGCCATCAGGGCCATCATGTTACGGCCCTCTTCGTGGAAGCTCAGGATATTTTCCTGTGTACAATCAAAACAGGGACGGATTAAAAATAAAAAAAATAAACTCCAGTTTAGAAAAATGGTTTGCCAAATTGTATGAAACCGTGAAGGCGAGCGCCTTCCTATCAGGAAAATTTCGTGTTTTTTTTTGGGGTTTCAAGTCCTCCTATTTGTCTTTGATACCTGAATATAGCTAGGAAACATGCAAGCTTAATTCCCACACGATTTCACTCATTTAACGTAATTGTTAAAACATAAACTCCACTTTATGGAAAGGATGGTTATCGAGTTAATGACTGTGTGCTTGCTGCTTTAGCTACAAAGCTTGTGTTTCCAATAAAATCAAAGTATCCAAAATATTAGTAAAAATAGAACTACTACAAAAACAAAAAAATAGTTGTATTAAGACAGACCATAGACCGACAACGACATAAAATGCCGTATCAACAAGGCTAGATGTGCCTTCAACTCGCTGCGCCCGATGTGGAGGTCCACGGCCCTGTCACTCCGGAGCAAAATTGGGATTTTCAACACAAATGTTAAGGCAGTGCTACTCTATGGCTCGGAGACCTGGAGGGTTACGAAGACAAATACTGATAGGCTACAGGCGTTCGTAAACAAATGCCTATGACATATACTCAAAATAAGATGGCCAGACAAAATAACAAACATAGACCTGTGGCAAATTTTAAAGCAACAGCCAATAGAGAAAGATATAAAGGCACGAAAATGGGGATGGATCGGACACACGTTAAGAAAAGAAAAAGAAAACATCGCAAAACATGCATTGGACTGGAATCCCCCGGGGAAAAGGAAGGTGGGCCGGCCAAAGAAAACATGGAAGAGAACGGTTGAGGAAGAGGCAAAAACAGCTGGGCTCTCATGGGCACAGATTAGAGGAGCAGCCCAAAACCGAGTCCGCTGGAGATGTGTGGTTGCAGCCCTTTGCTCCCCAGGGGCCATAAAGGAGTGATGATGATGATGATGATGATGATGATAGACCGACAAAAAACAAATTTAATAGCAAAAGCAATACATTTAACGTTATGTAAGCAATACCATAAAAGTCTATACACCACCCTGCAGGTTACCATTAACGTACAAAGGCGTGACTACCTGTATATATTTGTATATTTCGCCCCTGAGACAACCGTCGACACGGGCCTGTTGTGTGATGTACTGGACACACTCCTGCAGACAGGGACCGAACGGCCGACAGTTGGACACCAGGCCCTGGTAGAGTGAGGAGACGTTGACGCTTGACGGAGAGAGAAACGCGTAGGGGTCGGCACATTGAAACCTTGACCACGAGGCGGGATCACAGTAACTGTAGTAAAACAATAACAGTTAACGGAGGGTGTGTATTATTAGGTTGGTTAATTAAGGTGCGAATCTAACAAGTTTTTACTTTTATAATAATTTAAAGCTTTTATTATAAGCTTTTTAGTTGGCGATAAGACGTTAGGATTCTTGTCTTTAATGCAGCGATATCACTCATAGCTTATAAACACACTTGGCTCCGGCGACAATGCAAGAATTTATTTGTTTAAAAATCTAATTTGACATTTGGTTTGTCTTTATAATGTATTTAAAAGATTACTAAATTCAATAACATAAGAGTGGATAACCAGTGTTTCTTCCAGACTTTTTTCTCCGGGGGGCACTTGAAATTTTCGGGGGGGGGGGGGGGGGGGGGGGCGGTAGACTTTTTTCGGGGGGGGGGGCGGACACTGTTAAAAGTATATATTTTCAAGCTACTGATAGACTTTTAACGCAAGTGTTGTTTAGTTGTTAACCTGTGTAGTGTCAACTGCGATTAGAACAAATTACTATACCGTGGAAAATTAAACGAATTTGATAATCTTTCAAATATTAAGCTTCTAAATGTACTAGGAATAAGAAAGTAAAACGAATTAGCTTTCTTTAATAAAAGTATTGGTCAGACTGGTCGCACATGAACGTTCATACATTTTTTACACAATATTTGGCACCTTACACTTTGGATAGCCGTACCTGACGCTGGGCACTCTTTGGATAGCCGTACCTGATACCCGGGCCTCCACTGAAGCAAAATTCGTTAGTCACGTTGCTCTTCGGGTAGTAGGTGAGTACCCCGCTGCACATCTCATCAGAGGTTGCCTCCCCCTGCACCACTGAGTGGTCTAACTTGGCCGTGCTGAACTCGCATGTGGTCACGATCTCGTCCCCGGGTAGGAGAATTATGGGATCGTCGGTGCTGCGGCGGGGGGAGGGGGGGAGGATTTAGACATTTTAAAAGTTATACAACATGCACACAGATGTGCTCTAACTAACGTACACTGAATGAACAATGTTACAATACATCAATGACATGTGTAATTGAATGCAATCAGTATTGGGAAATAATTAAATCAACTACGCAATCTGTCCTTATTTTAATTGCTGCGTGCAAGCATTTTGCTTCAATTTGTTTAATTAAGTTGTTTGTTGTTTTGTTGTTGCTACTTTTCATCCTACGACGAATGAAACAGCAATTAAACCACAAAAGTAGATATCCAACACCTCTCACCTCCACCCCAATCCCAGTATACGAAATTGTTATCAGCACCAGATGAAATACCCAAGGTTGACCATTTCGAAGTCCCACACATAAAAACACACACACACACACCTGTACTACCCAAGTCTGACAAAAAAATTCCAAACACCACAAAAACACACACAAGTACCACGTCTCGCAATAAACTACACATAATAAACACATACCCATCTCTAGTTCCCAAGTCTCCCACACTACCACACATAAACACATACACATCTTTACTACCCAAGTCTCCCACACTACCACACATAAACACATACACATCTTTACTACCCAAGTCTCCCACACTACCACACATAAACACATACACATCTCTACTACCCAAGTCTCCCACACTACCACACATAAACACATACACATCTCTACTACCCAAGTCTCCCACACTACCACACTACCACACATACACATCTCTAGTTCCCAAGTCTCCCACACTACCACACATAAACACATACACATCTCTACTACCCAAGTCTCCCACACTACCACACATAAACACATACCCATCTCTAGTTCCCAAGTCTCCCACACTACCACACATAAACACATACACATCTCTACTACCCAAGTCTCCCACACTACCACACATAAACACATACACATCTCTACTACCCAAGTCTCCCACACTACCACACATAAACACATACACATCTCTACTACCCAAGTCTCCCACACTACCACACATAAACACATACACATCTCTACTACCCAAGTCTCCCACACTACCACACATAAACACATACACATCTCTACTACCCAAGTCTCCCACACTACCACACATAAACACATACACATCTCTAGTTCCCAAGTCTCCCACACTACCACACATAAACACATACACATCTCTACTACCCAAGTCTCCCACACTACCACACATAAACACATACACATCTCTACTACCCAAGTCTCCCACACTACCACACATAAATACAGTGACCAGCTGCTGCACTCACTAGGCATACACCTGCGGACTGTCATAGCTGTACATGGGGTCGTTTGTCAGAAAGGTCAAGGCTCTGTTGTTTCTGTAAACTTGTATGCTCATTTTTGTACCTGTTAAATATCAGGACTTTGTGACTATGTGGGTACATTCTCTTGCTTCTGTCTCAAAATAGTAGCTACTGGACGGAGCTAATCTGAGATAAGTCACTTTAATTTGTGTTAGGTCACACGAAGCTTAATTAGATCCTGCATAACACGTTAGATCACTGTAACATAAACGTTTACCTCAAAGAAATCTGTATTGGGTCCCACTCGTTTGTGTAAGGTCACACCAACCTGAGTTAGGTCACACCAACCTGAGTTAGGTCACACCAACCTGAGTTTAATCTCACCAACCTGAATTAGGTCATACCAACTTGAGTTAGGTCACACCAACCTGAGTTAGGTCACACCAACCTGAGTTAGGTCACACCAACCTGAGTTAGGTCACACCAACCTGAGTTTAATCTCACCAACCTGAATTAGGTCATACCAACTTGAGTTAGGTCACACCAACCTGAGTTAGGTCACACCAACCTGAGTTAGGTCACACCAACCTGAGTTTAATCTCACCAACCTGAGTTAGGTCACACCAACCTGAGTAATGCATATGGTTCCAGGCCATGGTCACGTGCACCGGACCTTTGAAGGCGCTACTGGTACAAGCGGCACTACACACGCCCTTGACCTTCACGGATTCTTGACCTGGTGGCAGCACAAAGTTGTTTGACCCTGTCAGGAAAGTTCCGGCATCGAACATTCTTCTGGAGGAGAGAAAAATTATCCGCTCTACATTTTATAAAGATTTATTTTATATTAATCGGCAAAGCTTCTCTATTTGTCTGTAACACAAAATATCATTTTATACTATTTAGATACTGCAAATTCTGTTTGAAAGTACTGAAATACTGGATGAAATATTCATTCATTCTTTTATTGACTTAGACAACAAAAAATCCAACAAAGCTTAGATTAGTAGGTGAATAACGTAACTGGCATAGGGAGGAGAGGGGGGGGGGATTCAATGGGAAAGGAAACACTTTTTTTTCAGAATCAAATATAGATCTGTGTGTTTTTATTCTATTTTATGAATGTTGATAGTTTTAGGGGAAAACAGCTATAAATAAGTTTAAATCCGTTGATTTTAATTAAACTGTAATTGAAAACAACAAAGCCACCTACCTAATACTGGTACGATTCCGTGAAATCGCAAACCCGGACAGCGTAACTCACCTGTTGGGCGTGTAGTACAACCTTAGACCTGATCCGTCCATCCAGTCGGCGACCCTGTCTGGGTTGTTCCAGTGGACCTAATGACGTAAGCAGACGACAGGCCTTGTCACAGATGACACTAATACAACAGGCAACTAGGCCTGGTCCCAGTTATATAGTAAAGAACAACTTTTAGACAAGACATGTGTAGATTAAGTTGAGTTTGAATATTTTTGTGTTAATTTAGATATTGTCTAAACATTTACCACCCCCTATTTACACGAAATCAAATTCGCAAAGAAAATTGAATATTCAAAATGTGTAATAGTAAAAGAAAAACGAAAAAGAAAACTAAATTTGTTGTTTCGATGTCAAGTCTTTGTTAGACAAAAAAAAATCTTTTAAAATTGTAAAATATTTTCTGCCTTCTATCTCTGTGTTGTTTTAAAAAGCCGTAGGTTACGTTTAATAATTAGATCCATCCCTCTGTAACTCGTGTGTTATTACAACACGTCTGTGTAGCATAACCACATACATACAACACACCGCAACCGTTGACGACACACCTTTGACGACACAGCATGGCATCACACACCTGTATAGCGACCCTCTTGTACCCGTTGACCCCTATCCTGACCCCCGCATTCTGGTGACTGCAGTCCCCTGACAGACCCACGGTCCAGACACTGAGAAAATCCTGGCAGTTGCCGGATGAAGTCATGCCGCACTCGTATATGTTGGACGTAGCCTCTTGGTTGTCTTTTAAAATAGAAGAAAAACAACAATACACGTTTGTTAATTAGGACAATATAAATTCTTTGTAAAGCTGCGTATTTGGTAGGATCTACTGTCTGTACCCACACTAAAAGAACTAGTTTGGACTTCTAAATTATATTACATGATGAAAATACTCCAAATACTTGCTAACTTATTACACTCCTTTGTAAACAATTGCCACCTGTCATCATGTCACATATCTGTCACGTGTCAACCAACTTAACCATGTCACTTACCTGTAATCCCGTCACTTACCTGTAATTCCGTCACTTACCTGTAATTCCGTCACTTACCTGTAATCCCGTCACTTAACTATAATTCCGTCACTTACCTGTAATCCCGTCACTTACCTGTAATTCCGTCACTTACCTGTAATTCCGTCACTTACCTGTAATCCCGTCACTTAACTATAATTCCGTCACTTACCTGTAATCCCATCACTTACCTGTAATCCCGTCACTTACCTGTAATCCCGTCACTTACCTGTAATCCCGTCACTTACCTGTAATTCCGTCACTTACCTGTAATCCCGTCACTTAACTATAATTCCGTCACTTACCTGTAATCCCGTCACTTACCTGTAATTCCGTCACTTACCTGTAATTCCGTCACTTACCTGTAATCCCGTCACTTAACTATAATTCCGTCACTTACCTGTAATCCCATCACTTACCTGTAATTCCGTCACTTACCTGTACAACCGAACAGCACCATATGATGTAGTGTATAGACGTTGTCAATCACCGGCTCTACGGCGATCATGTGATAATCCCCAGGTGTCATCAAACTCTCCAGGTCGTAGATCTGGCACATGTAGGTTGTCTCCTTTGGAGGGATGTGAGAACCGCTGGGCAGGTGAACGGTGAGATTCTGCACACCTGGTGTATAGCTTTTTGTTAGTCTAATATTTTATATCAAAGCACTTATATCATTTGTTAGATCGGAGACTTGCAAAAAAGTTTCAGAGAAATTCTTCTCTGCAAATTATGCGGTATAGGCCTACTCTTTAGGGCTAGGGATAGGGCTGGGGCTAGGGCTACGATACGGCTACGGCCAATGCTAGGGTTAGCTCTAGTTCTAGGGCTATGTTTAGGGTTTGTATTTGTGTGTTTTGGGATAGGGATAGGGATGGGGATAGGGTTAGGGTTGGTGTTAGGGCTAATAATGTCACGCTTTTTTAACGACTTACAAAAAGCAGACCCTCGCCTTAGAGTTAGATGATGCCATTTATTAATAGTAAATGACTATAAATAAATGCTCTAGCCTTAGCCCTAGTCCTAGTCCTAGTCCTAGCCCTAGCCCTAGCCCTAGCCCTAGCCCTAGCCCTAGCCCTAGCCCTAGCCCTAGCCCTAGCCCTAGCCCTAGCCCTAGCCCTAGCCCTAGCCCTAGCCCTAGCCCTAGCCCTAGCCCTAGCCCTAGCCCTAGCCCTAGCCCTAGCCCTAGCCCTAGCCCTAGCCCTAGCCCTAGCCCTAGCCCTAGCCCTAGCCCTAGCCCTAGCCCTAGCCCTAGCCCTAGCCCTAGCCCTAGCCCTAGCCCTAGCCCTAGCCCTAGCCCTAGCCCTAGCCACTAATTCTAACACTAAAAATTTGACATTACGTTTGGTAACGTAAAAAATCAACCCCATAAGATACAAACCTGGTTCATCTTTGGCAGCACAAACAAACTCCTGGGCCTTACACTCCTCTCTCATCCAGTCCCCCTGGGTCTTGTACACCGGGTGGGTGACGGGCTTAGCCAGGCAGGACGGGGAGTCCCATGGGTCACATATGCCTGGGGAGGGGGAGGGAAGATGTGTGGTTGGAGATGATTTCTTCAAATCCTTTTACAATACATATAGCTTAGAGGAAATTTTTAAATAACAAAAAAAATCAAACAAAATTTAAAGAGACAAGTAAATGACTTACCAGGGTGAGATAATCCAGTTGTTCTTCTAGGAATAGAGTTCTCTTTCCATGTACAGTCAGGATCACCCAACTCTTGACCATTGGTCATCCCATCACCGTCTGAATCTTTTCTGCATAGCTCTTCAGTCCACACCTTAGTAATAACAACAAAAATGTTATTTTGAAGAATACACCTAAAAGCTAAAAAAGTAAATTCTAAAAAAAAAACAACGTACATGTCCAGCGGCTTGAAAATCCAACCCGAACGAGTTTTGAACCCCGGTCCCTTGGTCCAGCATGTGACCCACCCCCTCCCACAAGTTGTTTGGTTTACAAGGGTACGGGACGGCGTCTCCATTGGGAATTTTACTTCTGTAACTTCTGTATGCGCATGCGCAGTGCAGCAATGCGAGACACACAAGTGATCTGAAAAATACGAAACATGAAGTTAGATCATTCCTCATTATTCAAGTATGAACCGCGACTTAAGTTTCTTCTTTCTCTCCACAACCAGCCGAATTCGACGCTCTGTCTGTCTAATTTGGTTACTCGCGGTTAAATAACATATTAAAACGCAAAAATTGAATAGCACTAGTACATAATATTAACTTTTTAAAGTTTTACAATTGTAGGCCTATTGTGGAGCCAATGTCAGAATTACAAGTCCAACATTATAACATTTATACTGAAATAATCTTTCTTTTTAACATCTAGATGATATTATGAATTAGGATTATTGTTTCTCACTTGACAGGTATCATTTCGATTACTAGTTATTGAAACAGAGTAAGCTAATTATTGTAAAAAAAAAATCTGCCCCCATTTATTGTAGAATGTGCTATACGTAGACTATATAGTATTTTTTAATGAATGTACGGAAACCCACTTGCTCAATTTTCAAAATTTTATAGTTAGGAAATACATTTTTTGAACAGACGGGTTTTTAACTGAATCATTTAAGTCTACTAATCAGTGTGTGCATTTAATATGGTGTTTTGTTGACTAATAATGTATACTATTAGTTTTAATTTTTCTAATGGGTATTGGTAACCTATGTTATATTGAATGTGTCGGATGTTTAGCTATATAGTTATTTCTTTGCTTTTTCACTAATATCGTTCAACAGGTAGTAAAGCCTTTGTGTTTTGACCAATAACGATTTTATAAACGATTTTTCTCAATCAAGTATAATATTTTAAAAATATAGGCCTAAAATTTATGAGTAACGAATACCGATGTCTAGTACAATAGAATCACGTAGAAAAAATTGGAACATGAATAAATTGCGAATAACAGCGGAAAATATGTGCTTTAAAAAGGAGACGCTGATTAGTTTTTTAAAATTTAATTTAGCCTCTAATTCAGCCAGTTGAAATGTCAACAAGTGAAATGTTTTGAAGAGATCGGTTTAGTAGAAGTAATCGTTCCCCGAAAATCAATCGAAACTCGATAGAATCAAGACAATAAAATCTTTTAACTATGTTTAAAATGGCGTCTACCTAACTGAAATGGTACTTTACTAGTTAATAGTTTATAGAATACAGAAATAGCGTAAAGTACCACTTCCGTTTATTGAAGGTCATTAAAAATGTAAAGCAATTCAAGTATAAGATATTGTACTTATAAACGAAATTTCGACTACTAATCTGAAGCAGTGCTCAAGCATAATAGAGTAAAGTACAACTTCCGGTTACCGAAAATTGTTCGAAATTTTAATTTTGTTACTTATATTTGAACTTTCGTCCACCTAACATAAACTGTACTAAATTTATTGGCTTTTTGAAACCGGAAGTTGAGTACCACTTCGCTTTATAGATAAAAACTTTGCCTATTAAGTTTTTAAACATAAATTATTATTTTTTAAACCATACGACATAGTTCAGACACTTTTTTTCTCGATTTTCTGTGATAAAATGCAAACATACCCATTGTTTTTTTTTTTTTTTTCCTTTTTACTTTCTCGTATATACGAAGTATAGAGAAAGTATTGTAATCGTGCACAAAAATCACTTGAAATTTTAACAATTTTCACCGTATTACATCTCAGTCCTTCATCACATCCGAAGTATAGAGGACTTATTTTAATCGGGCAAAAATTATCAATCCAGATTTATCAAATTTAAGAGGTTTTATGCGTAATCCAGTCTAAAAAACTGGGCTTTGCAAGTCTGTCCGTATGTCTGTGTGTCTGTCTGTCTGTGTGTGTGTGTCCGTGTGTAAACACGATAACTTGAGTACCGTTACAGCTAGGTTGATGAAATTTCATATATAAGTATTTTATCAAAATCGTAGATCCGTATCAACTTTTGAGCGATTTCCGATAACCGGAAGTGGTACTTTTTCTACTTTGAATTTTCCAAAAGCCTATAACTTGAGTACTATTTCAGATAGATAAATGAAATTTCACATGTAAGTATAAGATCTAATTCTCTACCTTCTGTTAAATTTTGAGTAATTTCCGTGACCGGAAGTAGTAATTTACGCTACTTCCGATTTCTCAAAAAACTAATGTAAATTTTTAAAGTACTAATAATATTGCGCACTATCATGTACTTTTTTTATTTGGCGTTCACTTGGTGTGCAATTCTTTTGTCTACGAGATTTTATTCTATTTTTAAAACTTCAAGTATTTAAAATGGATTAAAAATCATGTCTATAGCCCGAGTTCCCGTCCCCTGTTGTTTTATATAAGAATATTCGAGAAAGTTTAGGGGAGATCACTCCCGGTTTATTTGTCTAGTTACCAAAAATACTTGAAACATTATTTACAACCAGCCTTTAGTATAGGCAAACAAAAATCAAACATTCTAACTTTTATAAACATATTTATTTTAATAAAATCGTGTATGATTTAAAAAAATATTTATTGCGTTCTTCGAATGATTTTGAGGATCTTTACTGCTAATTTATTTACCTAATATATTAGATATTTACCTATATTTTGAAATGAAATAAGTTACGTTACTAAATTGTGAATTAATAAAATTTTAAAGTTAAAATAAGACAGTTTATTCATATCTATTTATCTGTCTCTCTGTCTCTCTGTCTCTCTCTCTCTTTCTCTCTCTCTCTCTCTCTCTCTCTCTCTCTCTCTCTCTCTATATATATATATATATATATATATACATATCTTTATATATATATATATATGCATATATTTATATATATATATATATATATATATATATATATATATATATATATATATATATATATATATATATATATATATATATATATATATATATATGTACAAAGAGAGAGAGAGAGATATGGGGTCAGTGTTAGGATTAGGGTTAAGGTTAAATAAACCTATCTGGTTATGACATTTTTTTTAAATTGTGTATACTGGCCAAAATGAACTTCCATATAAACGTTCAAATAAGACTACCTTATGCCGATGAGACAGCATTGTAAATAGATTCCTGTAATACAAGCTGTATGGCGGTTTTCAGGTGTATGTTTTTCTACGATACACAATCATATTGCTTTTCAATTGAACAAACATTCAATCTTAGCTGTTCTTTTAAAGCTGTTTTAAGGATCATGTTTCAAAGTTACATGCAATAATCTTACAGACTTGGTAGCAAAAGATCAGCAAGGAGGGGAAGGGCAATAAATAACCTAATTAATTATGCCCCCCCCCCCCATCCCTTAGCATGTCAATTAACCCATGCCTAGCACTCCCTTCTTCTTCGTTCTTATTGTATTTTAGGACGGGATTTCTTCCAACACAATTAAGTATTACATGTCAACCTGTTATGCACCACACACAAAGTTTACTCCGATGTCGGTCTGCTTTTCGATTCTTTGCTGCTTCAATAGCCTTAATTCATACACGAACAAAACTACAAGGTTATTTGGTGTCGGAGTTTTCTCTCCTAAAGGTGTTGTGCCCCCCAGCTATCGAGCCACATCTACCCAAGTGTTAGAAAGCTTTACCGACCCGAACACGCAGACCCGTTCCCAAAACATTGACTTTTTAGGACATCACGCCAACCTCTTCGATTCACATTGATATTGAACATTTTTTAAACTTAATATTTTTGAAGCCCCCAAAAATCAAATGGAAGCAGCTACACATCTCCATTCGGCAGCGCTCTTGAGTTGAACCCACGTAAACCCAGCACTCTTGATTCTTTATTTACTGCACTTCTCCAGGATTTCCTCCTGGGTTTCGAGTTAGGGATTCCCTTCAGAAAGCAGCACTGTCTTGTGTTGAATATTCTAATTTTGCTCTGGAGTGACAAGGCTGTGCACTTCCATATCAGGCGTACTGAGTTGAAGGCACATCTGGCTTTGTTGATACGGTTTTTATGTCCTCGCCTGCTTACTCCCCCCCCCCCCCCCCCCCCATCCAACCTTGTTGGTCATACATTACTTTCCACATCGGTGAATTTGTTTGTTTCACGTTTGTCTGATCCTTTTAGTTGTATAAGTAGGTCCTGGTCATTACTGATTCTGATGACTACTGTTTTGTTAATATTGATTTTAAGTTCAATTGAGGCTTTTTCGCATGGCCGATTTAGTTTGGTTGTTGTTTGCGATGTACTAAGCAGATGTTATATGCAAAAATCAGATCTTGTGGAGAAATTCCACTGGATTCCTATGTCGTTATGTATAGTCAGATCTAGTCAATTACTATCACAAACATAATATATGCGTGATAGATATTAATTTTTGGGGTACACCATAATGGCTCATTTGCCTATCCAGATACCATTACTTTTCGCACTATCAAAGGTGTTTTCAAAGTCTACAAAGGTAATGTATGGAGGGGGGGGGGGGGGGATTCCCAAAAGGGACTGTTCAATATAGATGCGCATTATGGTAATACGATCAGTGCTTTTGTTTTGTATAAAAGTTATTTAGGTGTGTGTGTGTGGGGGGGGGGGGGAATTACAGTCGGGTAAAGTGATAGAGGAGAAATGATAGCATGGTAAGCTATATGTGGTGTAATGGGGGTAACGGACTGCCGGTATTTCACCATCGGCAAACCCAATCACATGGTTCTGGTGACTGTATGCCACGCCCCCACCGTCACGCGATGTTTATTTAGTTTTTTATTTCCGCGAAGTTTGGCCTAGAACTCCACCAAGGTTAGCTCATCAGGTGACCGGTGTGTTGGGCTCCACCTTTAAAGGTTGGTACCTGGTTATTTAAGGGCAACATTCTTCTTGTAGCAACAGTTTTCCATCACTAATTGGTCAGCATAAAGGCCAAAGGCTTATATTTGTATATGAAATTTCATCAACCTAGCTGTAACGCTATTCTAGTTATCGTGTTCACAGACAGACACACAATTACACACACACACACACACACAAACACACACACACATACACACACAGACAAATGGACAAAATTGCAAAACTATGTTTAGTTAGAGTGAGGTAGAGAAACTCGAAAATTCGATTTCGATTTTTTGCACGATTTTTTGCACGATTACAATATATCCTCGATACTTCGTATACGAGAAAGTAAAAATTAACACCTTCGGACTAAAACATTTAGGTAAAAATCCAAATAGAGCCACACTACCACACATTCGCACAATTCTACACAGGCAAACAATTAACGCAAATAGATTTCAAGTGCATGTAATTTATTTGTGTGTAAAAGAAATGTGATCAAGTGGAGTTTTTTACTATACGATTATCTGTTACAAACAAACATTTCTACTACAAGCAATGTCACACGTAAAAGAATATACGATTGGTAACGCATTGACGAAACCCTCTTAAAGTATTGCATCAGACTTTCTTCTGAGACGGCGGTAACACTCGGGGACGGGCAGAGGTGTAGCGACTCATTCTGGCGCCTGGAGCGAACTATTAAATTTGTACCACATTGGCAAAATAGTGTCTCTCCCCCCCCCCACCTCCCCCCATCTTACTATTCAAAATCACTTGACAAATATTACTGTGATGTCACAAAAAAGTAAACAGTTAAGTTATTCAGGAAAGGAATGCAGTTGTCTATTTTTTATTTTTATCTTTGACCGTTATCATTCAGTATTGCTGCTCAGAAATAGCTTTTAAATCAATTTTACTCCGTTTAGCGCTCGCGACGACCACCCCACCCGCCCTCCCCTAGCTACGCACCGGGTGACGGTCACGCTAATAGATTATACCTATATCTGAAAAATTATACTAATTACATCCCATTATATGATATACTTCCCTTCATTGAGAGTGATTCCTCACGAAAATAAAAATAAATTACACAAGAAAAAAAAATTCTTCCTTCTAGTTTGTTTTTATGTTAGAAAATAAGGCTAGAGTGATCTCACCTAAACTTGATCAAATATTCTTATGAGACACTCAGGGGGGAGAGCACCTCGGGATATTAATATGATGTTTATTTAATTTTAAAATACTGAACGTTTTTTTTAAGTAGAATATAATCTCGTAGACAAAAGAATTGCTCACCAAATGAACAGCAAAAAATTGTGTATAATATTGCGAACATTAGTATTTTGATAAACAAAAACTTAATTAATTTCAGAGTTAATTAATCATCGAAACAAGTAACATTGTATGTACAAAAAAAAATTTCTTGAGCCTCCGCCTACCTGAAAAATGTAAATTAATAGGACTAGTAGAACTCTCAAAATTATGTTTGAATTTTTTCCACCGTGCCCGACGATACACAGAGGAATAAAGTCCAAAATAAGTGTGTAAAATACTAGTTCCGGTCACCGAAAATAACTCGTAATTAGACAGATAACAGAGAGTTAGATACTTTACTTCTATGCACAATTTCGTCTATATATCCAAAACAGTACTCAAGTTATATTTTAAAAAACAGAAAGTAGAATAAATTCAACTTCCGTTTAACGGAAATCGCTGCAAAATTAATTCAGAACTACAAATACGTGTACGTGTACGTGTACGTGTACGTGTACGTGTACGTGTACGTGTACGTGTACGTGTACGTGTACGTGTACGTGTACGTGTACGTGTACGTGTACGTGTACGTGTACGTGTACGTGTACGTGTACGTGTACGTGTACGTGTACGTGTACGTGTACGTGTACGTGTACGTGTACGTGTACGTGTACGTGTACGTGTACGTGTACGTGTACGTGTACGTGTACGTGTACGTGTACGTGTACGTGTACGTGTACGTGTACGTGTACGTGTACGTGTACGTGTACGTGTACGTGTACGTGTACGTGTACGTGTACGTGTAGGTGTACGTGTAGGTGTAGGTGTAGGTGTACGGGTAGGTGTAGGTGTAGGTGTAGGTGTAGGTGTAGGTGTAGGTGTAGGTGTAGGTGTAGGTGTAGGTGTACGTGTACGTGTACGTGTACGTGTACGTGTACGTGTACGTGTACGTGTACGTGTACGTGTACGTGTACGTGTACGTGTAAGTGTACGTGTACGTGTACGTGTACGTGTACGTGTACGTGTACGTGTACGTGTACGTGTACGTGTACGTGTACGTGTACGTGTACGTGTACGTGTACGTGTACGTGTACGTGTACGTGTCTGTGTCTGTGTTTGCGTTTACGTTTGCGTTTGCGTTTGCGATTGCGATTGCATTTGCGTTTGCGTTTGCGTTTGTGTCTGTATTTTCTCAAACACCCATATTTGCAAATTGATCTTTAATTGATTATTAAATATTAACCCAAGTTCGGCAGCGCAGTGAATTTGCTTTTTTTAATGAGCTCACACGTCACGGCCCTTTTTAAATAATTTTATCCTAATTCCAGTGCAAGGCCAGTAACTTATGTTTCATAATTTCTATTTTTTTAAATGGAATGCGTCTGACATTTCCATTAATAGTTTTCATTCAATCTGCTTGTTCTCTTAATTATTTCATTCTTCAGTACTTTCTCGTATACAGAGTATAGAGGAAGTATTGTAATCGTGCACAAAAGTCACATAGAATTTTGACAGTTTTTATCGTTTTACACTTCAGTACTTCATCATATACGGAGTATAGGGGACTTATTTTAATCGGGCAAAAATAATAAATGCAGTGAGTACCGTTACAGATAGGTTGATGAAATTTCATAAACAATTATTATATTAAATTTGTAGTTCCGTATCTACTTTTCAGCGATTTCCGGTAACCAGAAGTGGCACTTATTCTACTTTCAATTTTTCAAAAGCCTATAACTTGAGTACTGTCTCAGATAGATAAATGAAATTTCACGTATAAATAAAAAATCTAATTTTCTTCCATACTGTCAAATTTTGAGTAATTTCCGCTCACCGAAAGTAGTACTTAACGCTATTTCAGATTTCTCAAAAAAAAAAACGCCTAGGAATTTATTTATTTGGCTTTCACTTTGTGCGCAATTCTTTCTTCTACGAGATTCTATTCGTTTTCAAAAAGTTTAAGTAATTAAAACATGGATTAAAGATCATTTCTATATTCCGAGTTGCCATCCCTCGTAGTATTATATAAGAATATTCGAGAAAGGAAAGTTTAGGGGAGATCACTCTCGGTTTATTTCCACAACAATTAAAAAACCATGAATTCTTAAGACCTTCCAGAGTGACCCCCGCAGATATTTCTAAGACATCAGAGGCTTGATGTGAGATTTTTTTATTCAGGTTTTTTTTTTTACCAAAAAACATTTATATGTTTATATTCGAAAGCATGGCATATGTTCAGTTATAACAGTTTTCCAGAGTTATATATTCTTGGTTAACATCTTTTTTGTGACCTCCACTGGTCGGTGTACGACCTCTAACTTTAAAAAAAATTGTTTCAATTGGCAATTTTATAATAGACTACATAAGGATACTTTTATTTGTGGTTAAGTTTTAACCCTCTCGAGCGAGTAGAGGCTGACCGACAATTGTTTTCCATTTGACCTAGTCATTTAACCAGGCTATGTGAAAAAGTAGTTGGATGTACAGAGACAAAGTACCCAAAACATTGTTTTCCAAATAGTCATCGTTTTTCAACAAAATAACAATGTTTATATAAACATTTCATACTGGTCACTTTTAGAGGCCTGCCGAAATTTTCCTGAAGGAAACACCGGTTTTGTTTGTTATCCCCGCAAGTCGTTTTACGACTTTTGGGATAAAATGCGGTTTGTATGTGGGGATATTTTTTTTCGATATTTAGCTCATATAAGCCGCTGGTTAGTCGAGGTCAGTTTTACCCCCTCGTCGTGGACGCGGTGGCTGATTGTCATTTGCCCTCGTGTTTTATTTGCTCGATTCTAGCGCCTGCAAAGTTTGAAGTGCATGCGACACCGGCAAGTGCCCTAACCGACATCAGTCCAATTATCTTTGTAAATGTCAATAAACCTAAACAGACACACTGGTTTAATACTTTTTATGAAGTCAAAGGTTTAGGAGAAATATGTAGCCTATAAAAACACCTACTTTTTAAAAGTTGCTTTTGGTATATCGGTCCGATTAACTTATTTTTAGTTCGTAGGTGTAGTGTTGGACGGTACTTCCCCCAACACAATTAAGTATTACGTGTAAACATGTTATGCGACATATGACTCAGCTTTCTGTATTTGCTTCCATAGTTTTTGACCATCTAAGAACAAACTACAAGGCAGAAAGTAATTGATTTTGGAGTTTTCTTGTTCAGGTAACGAGTTAGAGACACTTTACTCCACTAAACCATACAGTGTTCCCCTCCATTAGGTCTGTATGGGACGTTCTTTTTCTATCATAGCACATCTATGGTGCAGATTTTGGCTTGCAGTACGGATTTATTCTTGCTTTTTTTGTCATGTCTTCAGCCTCAGCATCGTCGAAAAAAAACATTATGCTTTAACATGTTTGTTTCACATTCACATAGAATACATCTAAATAAGCACGTATGTATCTTCGCTTTTATTCAACGTTAAAACTTTTGATAATAAGAAAGTCTTTATTAAAGGACAGATTACATTTCTTTGTGAAGACCATCTACATGTATATGAACGCGACTACTCTAACATGTAGTAGTTGTTATAAAACGTCCACAGACAACGCAATAATTTTCTAGTCCTTATATGGAAATTTAAAAAAAAAATCACAACCTTCTTTTGTTAAAACACATTTCATTTTGGTTTAACAATAACTGCTCAAAATTAAATAAAACTATGTTAACGATATATGTTTTCAGTTTTTGGGCGTTATGATGTGTACACTTCTAAAAAATCAGCTAAAATATATTTTGCAAATATGAGCAAGCTTTTATTAATAACCATGTAAGAATTTTAATAATTTATCTTTTAAAAATGTAAAGGATTTTTAATGAAAATTAACCAGTCATTGAGTCACTAATCATATGTATCAGAATGATTCAATGAATGTAAGGAAAGTTTCAGATTTATCTGGAATACTATTTATTGCTAAGATGAAGTGTCTTTTCGATACAGAGATGTAGTAGTCGAGCAGGGAGAGATTTCCATCAACACTGAGAAGATGGCATCGCCCACAGAGGATTATTTTCAACAAGAGCTTCCATTTCCTACAAAAGATATCATTTCCTACACTATCTGTCCTTGCCTACACTATCTGTCCTTGCCTACACTATCTGTCCTTGCCTACACTATCTGTCCTTGCCTACACTATCTGTCCTTGCCTACACTATCTGTCCTTGCCTACACTATATGTCCTTGCCTACACTATCTGTCCTTGCCTACACTATCTATCCTTGCATACACTATCTGTCCTTGCCTACACTATCTATCCTTGCCTACACTATCTGTCCTTGCCTACACTATCTGTCCTTGCCTACACTATCTGTCCTTGCCTACACTATCTGTCCTTGCCTACACTATCTGTCCTTGCCTACACTATCTGTCCTTGCCTACACTATCTGTCCTTTCCTACACTATCTGTCCTTGCCTACACTATCGGTCCTTGCCTACACTATCTGTCCTTGCCTACACTATCTGTCTTAGAACATCAGAACCAGAGCTGGCACCAAAACGACCAGCACAGCTCCAGCACTGACATGGTGAGCGGCGGCCAGTCCCCGCTCCTCAACGGTCGGCTTGGTGGTTGCCATGGGAGATCCGTTGATGGCCAGGTAAACTTCCGTCTGGCAGGAGGCCATCAGGGCCATCATGTTGAGGCCTTCAGGATGGGATTTCAAGACGACGTTCTGTCGGTTCAAAACAAAATGTTTATTTAGATGGAGTTTTAGATCGAGTACTGATAATATGAGACAAGGACAGTAGTCTAGAAATAGTAATCACGAGAACAAAGAGATTTAATTCTAAAGCCATTGATAAAATAGTGTAATGTATTATGTGAATACGCCATGTTTTATATTTTTATGATCATTATCTATTTGTTTAAACACTTTTGCTGCACGTTTGACTGTTAGAATAGAGCGATGATTAAATTTAGTTAAATTTAATGTTAATAAATTATCTTAGATTTAAAACCGGTATTGGTGAGTTTTGCTTAAAAACTCCAGTCGGTTATGCCTGTACGAGAGGAGAAGGGGTGGGAGTAGACTAAATCAACAAAGTTGATCAACGTAAGTTAATCATATTGCAGTATCAAATTTTGCATTATTGGGTGCATACAGTTTTATGATTAAAGAGCCCAAATAACTTATTCTTATCTCGAGAATGTGTCACGGTATGATAAAAATAGTATTTTAAAATATTCTATATTCATCCTCAATACACGCAAAACACTGTCTCTTTTAATATAAGTTTTTCTTTTTTTTTAAAGAAAGGCTTTTTTTTAAAGAAAGGCCAGTGCGACGCCTTGCCGAGATGGCTAAAACGCAATAATTTACAATTCAATAATCTGCCGTGTAGTTTTCGTCAAAGCTTGATACCTGCATGAGCTCGTACATCTCCCCTCTCAGACAGCCGTTGCTGCGTGTCTGTTCCAGGACGTACTGGGCACACTCCTGCAGACAGGGGCCGAAGGGCCGGCACTTGGCCATCAGACCCTGGTAGAGGGAGGAGGCGTTCAGGGCCCGGGAGTCGAAGTAGGCAAACGGGTTGTCGCAGCCGTGTCTGGTCCATGTTTCGGAGTCACAAAAACTGGGGAGAGTAAAGAAGAGAAACTTTTTTTTTTTAATTTAATTTTTTTTTTTTTTTTTTTTTTTTTTTTTTTTTTTTTTTGATTTACCAGAAATAAACTTTTAGAAAACCGTAACACAGATGTTAAGACATTTGTATTTGGTCTTTCTCAGAAAAAAAAATTAAACTATTATTAACATATAACTTGTCTCTAAGTATAATTATTAGGCCTAATAAAACTCTCACGCCTGTGGAGTTTAATTTGTGCAAGAATCTTTTAGGTATAGGCTATAACGTGTGTAGTCTATCATCGTCTTTTCCCGTTCGTGCCCAAGATGCGTGGGTCCAGATGAAGTAGAGTTCATTTGTTTCAGAGACCTCGTGTGCTTTTAGTAGAGGCTACATTGTTAACCTACAATAATTTCCAACCATGAAAACTACTGCCGCCCTCCATCCACAGTGATCTATCACCTTATTTTACAATGACCGCTTACCACATTTTACAATGACCACATACCAAATATCCCAATGACCGCTTACCAAATATCGAAATGACCGTTTATCAAAGTCACAATGAGTCCGCTTATCAAATGCCATAATGCCCATTTACCAAATATCACAATGAACGCATACTAATTATCACAATGGCCGTTTAGATATGTCACAATGACCCGTTTAGCAAATATCACAATGAACGCTTACCAAAGACACAATGACAGCTTACCAAAGACACAATGACAGCTTACCAAATGACAAATGCCAGCTTACCAAATGTCATAATGACAGCTTACCAAATGACTGAATGACAGTTTACCAAATGACAAATGCCAGCTTACCAAATGTCATAATGACAGCTTACCAAATGACTGAATGACAGTTTACCAGATGACACAATGTCAGCATACCAAATGACACAATGACAGCTTACCAAATGACACAATGACAGCTTACCAAATGAAACAATGACAGCTTACCAAATGACACAATGACAGCTTACCAAATGACACAATGACAGCTTACCAAATGACACAATGACAGCCTACCAAATGACACAATGACAGCTTACCAAATGACACAATGACCGCTTACCAAATGACACAATGACCGCTTACCAAATGACACAATGACAGCTTACCTAACGTCTGGGCCGACACTAAAACAATATTCGTGAGAGACGTTCCTCTTGGGGAAATAGGTGATAAAACCGAAGCACATCTCCTCAGAGGTTGCCTCCCCTTGTAAAACAGAGTGGTCTAACTTGGCCGTGGTGTAGGTGCAGGTGGTCACGATTTCGTCCCCTGGCAGGAGAATGACGGGGTTGTCGGTGCTGTGGAATAGTAAAACACGGGTGTTCGTGACGTCAGAGTAACCACAGAATAATGACGTCACGGTTTCAACCAAAACAAAACAAAAATTTAACAATTAACTCAATACTTTTAGAAATTAAAATGACGACATCGAGAATTATAATCCCGGTATGATCAAAACCTCAAATTGCTTAGAAATACAAATTACAGGTAATCTCCAAATCTTCTTCCAAACCCACCAATATAGTAAGCTCATCGTCACAGGGTTTAGGGCTTAGATATTCTACTCCCCCAGTTAAGTAACGTCATTTATGAAAACATCTATAGTTTCGTTTTCAACTAGATCGAGTTAAGGAATAAATAAGGACATTCTAGTTTTGTTTTCATCTAATTATAAGATGAAAGGATATGTTTAAAAATTTCAGCTAATTACAAGATAAAAATGGCATTCTAAAAATAGTTCAACAAGATGAAAGTGACATTCTAAAAATAGTTCGACTAATCACGTGGTGAAAATGACATTCTAAAAATAGCTCAACTAATCACGTGGTGAAAACAACATTCTAAAAATAGTTCGACTAATCACGTGGTGAAAATGACATTCTAAAAATAGCTCAACTAATCACGTTGTGAAAACAACATTCTAAAAATAGGTCGACTAATCACGTGGTGAAAATGACATTCTAAAAATAGCTCAACTAATCACGTGGTGAAAATGACATTCTAAAAATAGTTCGACTAATCACGTGGTGAAAAAAAACATTCTACAAGTAGTTCAACTGGTTAAAGGTTTAAAATGACGTGTGAAGCACTCACTAGAGGTAAGCCTGCGGACTGTCATAGCTGTACTCAGGGTCGTTGGTCAGGTAGGTCAGGTGTTTGTTGTCCCTCAACACCTCGATCTTCATCTTGATACCTGCCGTAGACAAGCTAAACTTCAGCTCACAGTAAAGATGGGTTGTGTACAATAATCTTTATACGCAAAACATCACAGCCGTAATTTAGAAATAAATTTTGGTTAGGTCTAAGTCGGTGTGGTGAAGTCAGAAGACCTCGAGATGTTAGACAAAAGGTCATGTGTATGAAGGTCTTGTAAACTTAACTATGAGAAGGACTTGTAATTGAATCCTCCACCATATTCTCAAATAAGAACGAAGAAGAAGAAGAAGAAGAAGGACACACTATCTTCTATACGACAAGGTCACATTATAATTTTATCACTAGAAGGTCACCCTAAAAACCTTTATTTAATTGGTCCTACTTAAACTTTCTAAAGTAAATATCAAGTTTAAATAAATTATATGGAGATCAATTATACTAAATATCCGAGGGTTAGCATGTATTTTATAAATATCCTAAGCTCCCCCCCCCCCATTAAATATCCCATTAATCTAAAAGGCCTTGGTCAGACAACCTCATAACCTAAATACACCAAGGTCACATCAACCTAAATACACCAAGGTCACACGAACCTAAATGCACCAAGGTCACACTAACCTAAATACACCAAGGTCACACTAACCAAAATGCACCAAGGTCACACTAACCTAAATACACCAAGGTCACACTAACCTAAATACACCAAGGTCACAGTAATCTAAATACACCAAGGTCACAGTAATCTAAATACACCAAAAGTCACACTAACCAACATAGAACAAGATCACACTAACTTAAATAAACCAAGGTCACCCTCACCTGCGTAGTGCATATGGTTCCAGGCCATGGTGACCTGCACCGCCCCCTTGTAATGGTTTTTGGTGCACGTCTTGGTGCACGTGCCTTGCACGCTGACTTCCGGTTGTCTAGGCGGCAGCACGAAGTAGTTGGAGCCGGTTAGGATGATGCCGGCGTCGTAAGGTCTCCTGGTGGAAGAGGTCACGTGACGTTAGAGACCTACATATATTTACTATATTTGAACTCGAGTAATCAATGATCGATCCTCAAAAGCTGGAAGATTTAAAATTGTAGATTTTCGACCACAAAGCAAGATCCAATGGACGAATATTAAAGCCTGCTAAATGTGATGGGTCGGGCCTTGAGAAGGGGAGAGGTAAACATCGTGAGGCAAGAGTTAGGCTGGAACCCCCAGGTGAAAGGAAAAGTAAGCAGACAAAAGACGTCATGTAGAAAGACAGGGAAAGGAGATGCACGGGCTTCTGAGTAATCGTGGGCTCAACCGAAGAGGGCCGCCCAAAACAGATTCTGGTGGAGAGGTTAAGCGTAAGCACTTTCTACTCAGGGGCTTTTAAGGAAGAAGTCGAGTGAATCAAGTACCAAACATCGAAATGTGCTGTTGCGAATATCGCGTATATCTTTAGTTTAGGAATACGATGGCACGAATACATGTGTTTCATCATTCCATTCCGTACACCGTGTGTTCTGTTTTACAAAGACACTGTTGGACCTACAATAATGTGTGCCATACCCACGACAGCTAAAAATAAAGATCTGATCAGTGTATTAAACTTATAATAACTTACACATACAGATACACACAAATACATATAGATACACATAGACAATTACACATAATCACATATATCCAGACTCATATTAATTGGTATATAGTTACAAACATCTACACATACAAACACACACACAAACACCTGTCCCAAAGACAGTTGCAACTCACCTGTTAGGTGTGTAGTACAACCTTAACCCTGAACCGTCTACCCATGTGGGATTTTTTTCTGGGTTGTTCCAGTGGATCTGAAAGGGTTAAAGTTTTTGTTTTTGTTTAACTCAAGCTTTAGTTGGAGAATTTTGACAAGATTTAGGTGGGAAACTTCGACACATCAAATTGTCTTTTTGATGTCACAAAATCACACATAGTCATAAACACGATCATATAAGCAATATCATACAGCCATACATAGTCATATATACAGCCATACAGTCATATACGCAGCCGAAAACAAAACACAGTCATAGACAGTCATAAACGCAGTCAATCACACAGCCATACACACAGTCATACAGACAGCCATACACACAGCAATACACACAAACAGCCATACATACAGCCATACATGACCAAGTAAAATATATTAAAGACAAAATCTTACACAATCAATTCACACATTACCACACATAAAAAACTACTCACACACCCTCACACGTGGCATCACACCACACACACACACACCACCCACCTGTATAGCGACCCTCTTGTACCCGTTGACCCCTATCCTGACCCCAGCACTGGGGTGGCTGCAGTCCCCAGCGAACCCCACGGTCCAGACACTGAGAAAATCCTGGCAGCTGCTGGAAGCTGTCATGCCACACTCGAATGGTGCGTCTGATGCCACCTCGGTGTCTGTGAGAGATGGCACCAAGCGTAAAGGTTCGTGCATGTATGATTTAACATTAGCAAGAGGCTTAATCGATCCATCATTTACCTTTACATATACCTGTATTTACCTTTACACGTGTACTTCTATTTATTTTTACACGAGTATTTGTATTTACATTTACACGTTTACTTGTATTTACCTTTACGTTTACCTTTACACGTGTACCTGTATTAATCTTTACATGAGTATTTGTATTTACATTTACACGCGCACCTGTATTTATCTTTATACGTGTACAGGTATTTACCTTTACATGTGCGCTTTGACTACCTGTGGCTACCTGTACATTTTTACCTGTGATTACCTGTACATTTCTACATCTGATTAGATTACCTGTACATTTCTACCTGAGATAACCTGTACACAGTGGCGAAGCGAGGGGGGAGCGGGGCGGACCGCATCGAGTGACACCATTTAGGGGGGTGACACCAAGGCAAAAAATAGCAAAATATATAGAGAAAAATGATAATTCCACTTAATTAAGTGATTAATTCGAGTGTTAAAAAGTCTTTTAAGAGCAAATTTGACAAATCCCGACAAGGATGGAGGGGGGGGGGGGGTGCAAATCGAAAATTAAAAGTTTATCCCCGAGCGCCGGGGAAGGTTCGCTACGCCTCTGAGAGTGACACCATTAAGTGCTGCAGCGGGTGACACCCGACCTCGCTACGCCACTGCCTGTGCATTTCTACATGTGCTTACCTGTAACATTTCTACCTGTGATTAGATTACCTGTACATTTCTACCTTAGATTACCTGTGCATTTCTACCTGTGACTAGATTACCTGTACATTTCTACCTGTGCTTACCTGTACATTTCTACCTGTAGATTACATGTAACATTTCTACCTGTGCTTACATTTCTACCTGTGCTTACCTTTACATTTCTACCTGTGCTTACCTTTACATTTCTACCTGTGCTTACCTTTACATTTCTACCTGTGCTTACCTGTACATTTCTACCTGTAGATTACATGTAACATTTCTACCTGTGCTTACATTTCTACCTGTGCTTACCTTTACATTTCTACCCGTGCTTACCTTTACATTTCTACCTGTGCTTACCTTTACATTTCTACCTGTGCTTACATTTCTACCTGTGCTTACATTTCTACCTGTGCTTACATTTCTACCTGTGCTTACCTTTACATCCAAACAAGACCATGTGGTGCAACACATAAACGTTATCGATAATAGGTTCCACGGCCACCATGTGGTAATCACCGGGTGACATGAGTTGCTCAAGGTCGAAGATCTGACACATGTAGGTCGTCTCCTTGAGTGGCACGTGAGAACCGCTGGGCAGGTGAAGATCGACGTTCTTCACACCTGGGAGATTGCAAACAACAAACTTTACTATTTAAAAAAAACCATGAAATCAAACAGTCGCAAACAAAGCTACATTCATACTTTGTTTGGTCGGCTCTTTTTTGGTATCGAAACATAGCATCGATAATACTGTAAGATACTATTATACAGCTATAGCTATATAAAAAGAAACATAATATATCTGAATTAAATAACGCTGGGTGATTTTTAAATAAAATAAAATAAAAACTTTCTAATAACAAATTTTCGAATGTAATGAAAATTTGATAAACTTATTTGCTTTCTTTTGTAAAAGCTTTGTTTGCTCATGAGATCAATTGCTTATTTTTAGCGATCAATTTTATTTTTAAAATAGATATTCTTGTATTGTCATTGAAGACGAATGTATATGGAAAGTTTAAACAAAGTTCCTGCATTAGAAGTGGGTCAAAATTGAGCTACAAAATTTGCCACATACCTAAAAACAAACATAAAAACAAACAATAAAATGTTTTAACAATGGAAAAGCTCAAAACAAAAAGAATTTAGAGCAAAAAATGTGACGAAAAAAACACCACAAACTGACCTGATTCATTTTTGGCAGCACAAACAAACTCCTGAGCCTTACACTCATCTCTCATCCAGTCCCCCTGGGTCTTGTACACCGGGTGGGTGACAGGCTTAGCCTGGCAGGACGGAGAGTCCCACGGGTCACAGATACCTGGGGGGGGGGGGGGGGGGAGATGTTTTTTAAGATGATTTCTTAACGTCGTTTTACATGAGGTATAACTTGGAGGAAATTTTAAAATTGAAAAAAAAAAAAAAAATCATTTAAAAGTATAGTCTTCAAGGTTCTAGAGTTTGGTAAATGACTTACCAGGGTGAGATAATCCAGTTGTTCTTTTGGGAATAGAGTTCTCTTTCCATGTGCAGTCAGGATCACCCAACTCTTGACCATTGGTCATCCCATCACCGTCTGAATCTTTTCTACACAGTTCTGTAGTCCACGCCTTAGAAAGAAAAAAAAAAGTTTTATTTTGTTGAAGTTAAAGCCTACAATTTTTAAATTAATTTTTTGTTACTTACATGTCCAGCGGCCTGAAAATCCAACCCGAACCAGTTTCTGGCCCCGGTCCCCTGGTCCAGCATGTGACCCACGCCCTCCCACAAGTTGTTAGCTTTACAAGGGTACGGGACGGCGTCTCCATTGGGAATTTTACTTCTGTAACTTCTGTACGCGCATGCGCATTGCAGCACCGTAAGACACACAAGTGATCTGAAAGTACATAAAAGTTAATGATAGTTAGCACTGTTGGCTCATAGACTTTTGCTGTAGTTGACAGTGGGTTTTTTTTGGTAGCCATTTGTACACATAGTGTAGGTAAGTATACGACACACAATTTGCAGATGTGCAAAGTGTAAACTGGGGTAAAGTCTACTATCTCGAGGGAAGTTTATTACCATTAAGTCTATTTTTAATAAAGTCTATTTTTTTGTGTATAAAGATATCGATCTAACCCTTAGCTTTTACAATACGTGGTACACTTTACTATCTCCAGTAAATTCTTTTGTAAATGGTTTAGTCTAATATTATTGGTAAACTCTACTGTACATAGTTAAATGTACTATATATTAGTAAGTCTATTGTATATGGGAAATTACTATAAATGGTAACGTCCACTACCCTAGTTAAAGTTTTCTACATATAACACTTGTAAAGTCCACTATCCCAGGTAAAGTCCATTACCCCAGGTAAAGTCCACTAAAGTTCAATACCCCAGGTAAAGTCCACTACCCCAGGTAAAGTCCACTACCCCAGGTAAAGTCCACTACCCCAGGTAAAGTACACTACCCCAGGTAAAGTCCACTACCACAGCTAAAGTTTTCTACATATAACACATGTAAAGTCCACTACCGCAGGTAAAGTCCACTACCCCAGGTAAAGTCCACTACCCCAGGTAAAGTCTACTACCCCAGGTAAAGTCCACTACCCCAGGTAAAGTCCACTACCCCAGGTAAAGTCTACTACCCCAGGTCAAGTTCACTACCCCAGGTAAAGTCCACTATCCCAGCTAAAGTTTTCTACATATAGCACTGGGAAAGTCTACTACCCCTCATGTCGTTCACCTCCCCTAAAACTTACCACCTTTTCCCTGGTCAATAGCCCCGCGTTTAACACCAGGAATCGTGACTCTGTCACAGATTTTATGTCAACACTTGTCCCTCATTAACATATTGTGCGCCATTTTGTTTTATTTGAACAGGTAACTCTTCCTACACACCCACCTCTGATGTAACAGACAGGTGAGAATTATTAAACACACAGGTAAGTCATCCGTGATCTACCTATGTTGGTCTTCACGAACCCATATATGTTAGTCATGAATTACCCATATATGTTAGTCACCAATGACACATATATGCCAGTCATCAATGACCCCATATTTTAGTCACCAGTGACCTATATATGTTAGTCATCAGTGACCCATATATGTTATTGAGCAATGACCCATATATTTTAGTCACCAATGACCCATATATGTTAGTCATAATGACACATAACATAAAGTCTTCACTGACCCAGGTATGAATGTCTGCACTACTTGTGTCATGATCAGACGACAGAAACGCCCATGTTACACTTCTTGAACTCGTCCAACATGTCTGACACGGTAAATTAAAAAAAAACGGAACTGTATTATAATAATAATAGATCCAGGTGAAGGATCGGGTGCAGAAATGTTGACTTAACTACTGGAAATCATAGCCATTAAACTGAATTAGTTATAAAAAAAATAATGTTCAGGTGTGTTTATTGTGACTCAGGCAGTGACGCCGCTTTTATCATTTAACGTAAGGACTCAATTTGTGACGCCGCTACATCATTTGACCTAATGACTGAATGTGTGACGCTACCAACATCATATGACTCAATCTATGACGTCACAAACAGCATTTGAGGTCATGACACAGCGTGTCGTCACTACATCATTTGACCTAATTACTCAAATTGTGACGCTACTAACACCACATTTCCTAATTACTCAGTTTGTGACGTCATATGACCGAATGATTCAATGCGTGACGCCACTAGCACCACATGACATAATTACTCAATTTCTGACGCTACTAGCCCCATGTGACCTAGTGACTCCGTGTGACGTCACTACCCCCGTGACCTCATGACTCAACAACGGTCAATCAAGAGGTCGTCTATCTGTAACAATTTCCCCCACTCTCTCTTCATACCAAACGTACCATGGACTGTTTCCTTTATTTTCACTCCCTTTCAAATTAAAACATTTAAAAAATCTACCACACACACACACACACAGCCCTACCCTTAAAAAAAGGAAACCCGAGCTATCCCACCGCTCTTATTTACTTTTGAATTCAATTCGTGTTTTGTCAGGTGACTTGGCAGTTTTGAAAAAGATCGGGTTTAAAATGCTCGGCTGGTCGCTGAAGCGGAAAAAAATTGCATGAAAGAGTTAGCAGAGTCGTTGTTCACATGGTGTTGTGTTACGCACGGGTATTATGTCATTCCTGGCATTCAGTATGTTTTAAGTACGTTGTATACACCAGAAACTGAGTGTGCTTCAGCTATTCTATGAGGTATCACGCAGCTTACCTCTCAAGCATCAAAGGGTTATGTCTTTATTTAAGAACCCGTACCGTCGTACTCGATTACGTATAATCGCTGAAAATCTGTTGTTTAACTATGAAATATAACCCAACCGTAAATTGATGTTGATTGTAAGAGGTTAGCGTTATCATACCAGCCATTACAGGTACTCGAGTATACAGGTACGGCTAATCGATTAGAAGAAAACTTGATTTACTATTGAAAACTGTTAAAACAGAGAGAGACCGTAGGAGGGTAGGCCTACTTCGATGAGGGGTGATTAAGGGGACATTGTTTGACCATTATTAAAAGTAAATCCTATCAGCCTACTGATTACCTGACCAGTCGTAAAACTAAACGCTATCAACCTAATAATATCAAAGGTCAAAGGGTGAACTGCTCTCATACTATACAGCATGGAATATATATATATATATATATATATATATATATATATATATATATATATATATATATATATATATATATATATATACATTAACGACGGAACTGACATTGTCTACTCCAGTGGTTCCCAACCTTTTTTGAGTGGCGACCCCCTTTTATAAAAAGTAAGTGACCCGCGACCCCCATAGAATTAAAAAGCCGAAATTAGTATGGAAATTAATAAGCACTAAAATAAGATTTTCTAGTAGACTTTCAATATGAACTGCTCTTGATAACTGTTTTAATAGCATGAGTAAAATTACATACTATTCACTAAACCTTCGTGGTTAAATTTTTAATTTAAAAAAAAATTTGTTAACGCCAACCTATGTCATTATAATTATCTTAATTTTGTTTTTAATCGAAGAATAGTGTTGAAAATATATTCTCGAAAAGTCAATCAATTTTACGTTTGTGTATGAATGGTGAATACTACACCAAAATTGTGTCTGCAGTTTTTCATCTTACACGGAATCAATCTGCAAATCAAAGAATTCATCTTGTAATTCATCGGGAATGCTGGCAACATCAAGGGAAGAAGAGAATGGGTAATGCGTAAATGCAGATTCTTCTTTTTTCAGCTCAGAGAAATAGCGATGCAGTTCGTTTTCAAGAGATTCAAGATGCCCATAAATCGCTTCTTTCAAAATTTAAATTAGCTCACAATCAGATTCATCTACCACACCGCAGAGTTTCTCAAATTTACAATATATCCAAGATTTGTTTTCTTTACCGATTTTGCAGCTTTGATAAAAATGCCCCGAGATTATCATGGAAAGTTATAATATTCATTCATTTTCACTGAAGCTTCAGGTTATTAAGCTTATCTTGATGTTCGAACATATCTGCTAGGTATGATACTCTCTCCAACCACTCTATGTCGTTTTAAGTATACCAAAAAGTCTTGTTTCCTTTGCACTCCCAAGAACAATTTGATTTCAGATTTCAATTCAAAAACACAATTTACAACATTTTGTTTGACAGCCAGCGTACTGTAGTGTAGAAGAGCAGAACCTCATGATCTATATTAATGTTTTTGCTCAGTTCTTTAAAGGCTCCATATTTTATATAATTTACGACTTATACTAGCAATGGACTCTTGATGTCGATTGGTTAGGGCAGTGGTTAGGGAGCTAAATCTTTTCTGTTTTCTGAAAGCCCGATTTTGAGCTAAACATAGATGGCGCACCACAGCCGTTCTAACCCATTTTAATCATCCAGTTTCAAAAAAGATATTTATTTTCTCCATGCTATCTTCACAAAAAGAGCAACTCTTCTTTGCTATCATCCGCATGAATATAGACACAGACCAGCAACTGCGAACACGAACTCACGTCTGTTGATTTATCAACTTGAAAAGCAGACAATGGTGAAAGCTTAATTTCAATAAAAATGTGTTATTTAACATTTACGTACATGCAGCGTTTGATGAGATTTTCTCCTATTGTTTTTTTTTTTTTTGCTTTGCATTTTTTATCGCGACTTCATTTGATGCTTGCACTAATGCTGGTGAAAACTTCCTGTTCGATCAAGCCTCTGGCGTTTGCAACTAGCTTCTTACCGACGAAAGAACTCCATATATATATATATTTTAGGTGTGTTCCGAATGACTCTTCTCAAATGACGTTTTAGTTTTGAAGATTTCATAGATTCGTGACTGAGAACAACTTTGTACAATGCGCTTTGTTTCTTCTCTATTACATTTCCAGTGATGTTAATGAAGTCGAATTTCAAAATTCTTCTAAATATTTATGTTTTGTTTCAAATTACTAAGGTTTAGTATATCAGTTGGCGACCCCCCAGAAAGACCTTCGCGACCCCCAGGGGGGTCGCGACCCCCAGGTTGGGAACCCGTGGTCTACTCAGATGGTAAAAAAAATTTGAATTACGTCACCTATTGAATGTTAAAACATCGCTGATTCAATTTCATTG